ATGAAACTAAATAAGTTTCCCAAAGAAACATAGCGGAGTAAAAATATTTTTTAAAACAGCGCACTCTTATAAAATTTGTACAAAGTTTTTAAACTTCAAATTTTTACTTTATATCTAGCGGAAAATAGTTCGGTTTCCTGATTAGTCTACCTGGCTTCGTATACCTACGACAACTTTATATTCCAGTACTCCCACTGACTATAAATACGCTTTTATTTTAAAGTTATTGATTCGTGTAGTCGTACTAATAATTCGTTTTGATTGGTGACCGCTGTATCCTTTACACAGCTGTCAACTGAATGGCGGGCGCAACAAAAAACTCTATATAAATAGTGCGTATGCTTCCGTAAAAGAAACCAGTCAAGTGCTAGTTTGATACTCATGTTTGGGTTCTGTATCCATATTTATTAGTGTTTATAATTTTATTTATTTATTTCGCCTCACAAATAAGGATGGCAATACATATAATATTTTTATACCAAAATGCTTAAATTTATTAGGATAATCGGTTTACTGTGAGGTGCTAGTGTCTCAAAGTATGGATCATTATAGATGTATAAGTACATCTTCCGCGACTAAAAGGCTGAACGAATCTTAATGAAATTTGACGTGAAGATAGATTGTGGATATCAGCTTATTGTAGATAGAATAGTCATGAGCTATATTTTAATAGCAAAATTAAACTGTCAATATAATCATATGCAAGTTGATGAATAAAGAAAGAAGATGCAATGGTTTGAATGTAAAGGATTATTGATAATTTTTAAAGAGCGTTATATTAATATTATCGATTTGTTTTTCGATTGCCCCATGTATTTTTATTTTAATATTTTGCTATGTCCATTATATTATTATAACAAAGATAAAGTACATATTCAATTATGTCTATTATTTCTCTAGCAAACTCTGCTTAGTTTGCTGCAGCTTACACTGCATAAGTTGTCCATAATTATTCATATATGTATATGTAATTTTATGTTTGTATTTAACAAATAATACACAACATACATTAATACTCATATATCTTATTTTTTATTTGTACATATGTAATTTTGTTTGTATATAAGCAAAGCAAATAATACACAATATACATTAAAATGTAAAATTACACAAAACAAGGTAGCTTGCTCTATTTTACGCAATGTAGAGTAGCCAACAAATGTACATATATGTATATTTGAATTCTTTTGCATTAGTTTTTGCGTAATTATATAGAATGTGATATTTACATTAAATATATGATATTGTACATATACTAGTTTGCGAGCGGAATCAGAGATACTTGTACGATATGTCAAGTGACGTCACAGCAACCTTGCAACCGTTTCCTGGTGGAGAAAGGGCAGTCGCCCGTCAACCAATCAACGTAGAAATTTGCTCTCGGCGTAACATGTCGATAATTCTCTGTGTGATCTTTATTCCTTATGAAAACAAGGAAGAGATGTATTATTACGATAATGACGGATGCATTCGTGTACGTGTTTAATTTTATAAATTATCAGTGAAATTATATCAAGCTCCACACATGGTTTACTGATTTCGTTATATTTTACTTATTATTAAGTAACTTATCACATGCGTAATTAGGCCTGAGACTTCTAAGAATAATATTGAAAGAAAACATTATCTGAAATAATACTTTAGAAAATAATTAAGTTTTCAGTTTATAGATTGTTATTAAACTGTTTGATGTAGGTCTGGATGTTTTCTATATATATTATATATGTATTTAAAAATATATATATAAGTATTTGTATCTGTTGTCTAATACCCACAACTCAAGCTCTGCTTACCTTGTAACTGTGTTAATCTTCCACGTTTATTTATTCCATTTTTTTAGTATTACAGTATTATTACAGTTAATGTTAGTAAATACAGACACAAATTACACACACAAAACTAAAAATATAAATAATAATAACAAAAATAAAATTTCTGTAAAAATAAAAATAAAAATCGTCGCTGTACAATTCCATTGGAAATTACACAGCAGTATTAAACATACGAACATATTTAAATATAGTGCCTAAGTAAAATCTGCTCTCGTATGTACTAAAATACTTGTACTTATTAATCAGCATTTAAAGACTTAACTATAAATTTGAAATTGTATCATCTATTGGATATCGGAGATGATCATAATATATATTTTTTATAATGTCCTACAATATTGTAAATATATAATTGTCTTTTTACAATTTAAACTACTCAATGGATTATACTGTTTTGTTTTAGAATTTTAATAATGTCAAAAATTTATTTCCAATTAATATGTATGTATAATACACATGTGTGTATGTGTATACATATATACGACATCCTTCATATACACTTAGCATCAGTACGAAGCCGAAATGGGTCGCTATTTAAAAATAAAACACTCCTTTATATTGAACAGTCAAATAATTCATGTAACAAGATGAATTCGAATCATATTAACAAGCTAATTACCTCTCTAATCGAATGTCTGGCAATTATAATAAAAGTGTAATTAATTATTATAAATGTCACTTGATTTTAATTATTCCAAATAAACGAAAAAGGATTTGGTACACGCTGGACGGAATTATTCGGATATCCAATGTCAGTTACCGTATTTACATTAGCTATTGTCGTTTATCATGTTTTCTTTTTAGGTACGTTTAATTTTTTTTATATGTACTTTTACGAGAACTAAAATATTGACCACTTGTTTATGTATATAGTTATATACTCTGAACCAAAATATTGTGTTAAACTACTTATTTATGTATATAATATACACTATGTTTATGTAACGAATCTAGACTGAAAATATATACATTACCTGTATATTTTATGTTTAAACTATGGTATACTAAATTTAAAATTCTTATGTATCAAAAGTCTGTCATTTAAAAGTCAATTTTGAGACATTTTATTACATATATTTTATTATATATATATCAGAAGAGCAAATAAACTAATTGACTGGTGACAAGTAGCAAGCGACGCGGCGACGCCTATGTATAAGACAATATTATTATTTTATTTTATTACTATATATATATCATCTGCAATTTCAATCCCCGTTAGTATGACAGAAGATCCATCGATAAAATCATGATGTTAGCACAACCAGAATAAATATTGTATTAACGCTTGTAAAACGAAAAATAGATTTAAATATTTATATCAAAATGAATTATTGAGTACAACATTAAATTAAAATTATCGTAATAAAATCTAATTGTATCAACAAAGACTTTGCTAAATTAGTGGGCGCAACCTTGAAACGCTAGTATGTGCATGAGTAAAACTGCGCGGCCGTCGTATGGTATGGTCAGAACATACATTTGATTGAAATTAAACTAAATAAATTATATTATATCCTAATGATATTATAAATGCGAAAGCTTGTGAATATGGATTTTTGTTACTCTTTCACGCAAAAAATACTGAACCGATTTTGATGAAACTTTCAGAAATATAGCTTAGGCATCAGATTTATGTATAAGCTATATTTTTTTATTGAAATTTACGCGAGTGAAACCGCGGGCACAGATAGTAAATATATATATAATACGCCGACCCCACATAAAGGGAACATAAGGTAGAAGCAGATGGTAATGAGATTACAATTAAAAAAAATATATATATTCAAAATGATGACATTTTTCATGGATAAACCGTAATTAATCATGTAGAGGCCTCTTGCCATGTGTGCATATAAAATTATACATTCATTGCAAACGTTAACGGTTGATAATGACTATAGACAATTCACACAGAGCCATTTAGTCCCAAGTCAAGGAGAGCTTGTATTATGGGTTTTAGGCAACTGATATATAACGTCATAGTTACTTTTTTTGTAAATATTGTACAGTGCGAGCAATCAAACGTGCGATCATTGAAATTAAACCGCTAGACCACCGAGGGCGTCAAAATAAAATGTAAAACTCTTTATTGGTCATGTTTACTCCCTCTCACAGAAAGTAAATTATCTATTACATAAATTATGTACACCAAATATAAAATCAACATAATTACAAAACAGAGGTAACAATGGGCGGCCTTATCGCTAAAAAGCGATTTCTTCCAGATGTTTATATACCTATCTTACTAATATTATAAACGCGAAAATTTGTCAGTATGGATGGATGTTTGTCACTCTTTCAAACAAAGACTACTGCACGGTATTTGATGAAACTTTACAGTAATATAGCTTATATATGAGAATAACACATACGCTATAAATTAAAAAGATATTTTGTAAAATGGGCGAAATATAATGATAAAGAAGTAGAGCACAGAAGTAATTTCGTGGGTCTGCTAGTTATATATATATATTTCATTTTCTTTTTTGTAATCTGTACCGATATAGCCACTATCCGCATTCCATTAAAACGCCAACATACAACCTTCAGTGTCACTGCGCCGGTGCATCTACGTTACTACGGACCACGTGACCACGTGGCCGAGATGTTACGTTCATTCACTCGTGCGCATCTCGTGCCGACGACCTCTAATGATGAGATCGGGTTCATCCAACCGGTTATGTTGTTATAAATCTTTGAATAGACGAAAATGTGACTTATGTCTTTATGATTTAATTGCAGTATTGCAGATAACGAATGATTATTTATTATTCTAAAATTTAAATTAAGTATAACGTAGCTATATGCATCGAGTGAAATTATTGATGACGTTTTAATTATTGAAGCTTATAATCAGTACCACCATTATAAAAATAATTTGTATTCGTTTCAAACAGTTATATAGCATTACGATTTTAGATTTCATATGAATAAAGGCTTCAAATTTTTTTATATTATTTGCGCAAACACGACAGATGATATTAAATTAAATTATTGCATTTTTTCATTATTCTCACATGCCTCCATACAATAACCGTTTACCATAAGAGAGGCCGTATGGTAGATTGTAACCATAGTTATATAAAAAAATACAGAATAATTATTATAACATCCAATTATGAAAAAAACATACTGTAAACATTTATCCCTTGGTTGGAAACAAAAATGGCTGACGTAGTACAAAAAAGAACAAAGAGGCTGCGTTTGTATGATTATGTATACAATGACCTTGACTGGGTAAGTCATTGGCACTATATAAATCCGGTAAATGAATTGGCAGAAATAAGATCAACGTGAAGTGAATAAAAATGCTAATTTAACGTAATACCAAGGCTGATTTTGTATAAAATCTTCTGCGTGGGCATCACTGGGTCATCTGTTTGAGCCGCTAAGCAGCTAACTGTAAGCTGTTCGGCTGAAAAAAAACAGGAGCAGTAAAATTATAGGGTAGAGACGATAGGCCATATTCCTCCGCAATAATAATGCAACCAACGTATGCTATAGTATTTGTCAAAAGTTTTAAGTCAAAATAAGATTTTATTCATGTAGTTCAATTACAGATATTCTTAGTAAGTATATACCATTAGTGACTAATACTCGTATAGTTCGAATGTAGTCTAAGAAGCACTCGGCTCTTGTCGCTTCACGGGTAGCGAACTTTGAAGAAGAGCGAGAACAATAGATCTATGCAGTTCGCAGTAATACAGGTCATAGCACCTGACAGTAACCGAAAACCTCCAATAAAAAAAACTCATTTTAAATGAGATTGTATATATTTACAAAAAAAATCAATTGAGTCTTTAATTTAGGATAAATAGATACAATAACTATCAATATATAATAACATGTTATAATAAGAATAAAATTTATACGTAAAAAAGAAAGAGTCAGCAGACAAAATAATAAACAGACCTGTTCTTAGAAGTAGTGTCCGTGCACAAGTAGATATAACGGTACAGCCTGCCATCATTGCACTTAATCATAGGCTATTTATTTTATTGAGGGTTTTGAGCTATTGTCATTTATTAGGACCTATAACACTGTAACCGGTATAGGTCTCCGTTTTTCAAAGATCGCTACCTAGACCCGTCAGGAACAAGAATTGAGGAATATTCTTCCGAGTGATGATTTTTATCTCCTCAGGACAGAGTGTATACTTTTCAAAGGAAATATTTTGTTTATATGTACATGCATACAAGCACAAAGAATGTGTAGGTGGCGTTTCCTCTTAATTAACTTAACTAACTTAAGGACTAATTTTGCGAATGTATTTAATTATAGAATTAAGTTCTCTTTATAGTTAGAGAATTACTAATTCAAAAGTAGTAAAAATTACTACAATTACTTTTACGAAAGTCTTCAAATATTTATTATTAGTATATTTAACACAAATAATGTATTTTCCCTTTTTAACTCCTAAATATGACTATGACTGTGTAACTTAGTCGAAACTGAGAGAGGTAAATATATCTTATATATAACATTCTCGTGTTACTATGTTAGTTAACATACTCCTCCGAAACGGCAGGACCGATAGTTATGAAATTTTATATGCCTATTCGGTAGGTCTTAATACATCGTCTGAGAATCGGCCGCTATCTATCTTTCATATCCATAAGTGATAAGAGTTATCCACCCCATTTTTTTTATTTCTTGGAGAAAAAAATTATTCATATTTTTTATGTGGCTTTAAATAATATACATACAACCCTAAATTTTCACCCTTCTATCACCTCTATTTTGTATCTCTATAAAATTATTCGCGTTAAAATCTGAACTACAATTGTTATTAATTCAATTTGTCTTCTCACTAGATTTCAAACGAAATAGGCAGAAATAACCGAATTATTCATATCTTTGTTTAATACTGTACTAAATGAGTGCGTAGTTAACAAGCTGTTAGTTTAAGTCGTAGGAGCGACAATGTAATGAAGTTATAATGAAAATTATCAGTCCGCAACGGTAACCTTGTAAAATGGAGGAATATTATAGACTAATTAATAGCTTTATTAAATCCTATTGCTTTCAATTGATTGCGTATTCTAAAACGTCATGGAATAGGTAACAGACAATCACTGCAAGGTCATTTGTCATAATATGAATGTCTCTGCGCGTTGTCATATTTAACAATTTATGGATTTTAATTCCGTATTTTAGTATACAATCTAATTTTATTGCTACAACCATATATATCCAATTATACATTTCTTTAAGTTTTGTCTACTAATATTTCTTTAGTCGGTTAACAAAGAACAAAGTGAGAAACTTTGTTAATAAGTGTACTAACTATATAAATATAATGTAAAACCTATTAGGCACATTGATTGTGAAATTAAAGGTATAATCTATTATATTTAAAATAATTGTTCTTGTTGCTAAGTAACAATTAGGTATGTTTTACGTGTTACAGTGATAAAAGCAATCGTAAATTATATTTAATGATGTATATCCGCTGAATATCTCCATCAAAACATAGTTTGTTCATTAATTTGTCCATATATATCCTTGACAGTACAACTCAAATGATAAAATTTGATATAAAACTGTATTTCAAAACAAATTATCCTAATGTGTTGTAATTACGTAGACTTTGCAGATAAAAATTAAATGTAATATGCTCATAATTGTGAAATAATTAGGTATGTATCAGAGATGAAATCTTTGCTGATAAATGGAATTTTTTAACTTTAATTTTCATTCACTACGCAGTCGTACAATAGAATAACTTTTTAAAGATTATTCTTGTAATACAAAAAACATTAAATCGTTATAAAATTTGTCGACAAAACTAATATACCTTTAACAATATAGGCCCTTTAGGAATTTTAGAACCTTTAAGAATAAACCTTTTTAATTAAAATACAAGCATTAATAGACGAAGATATTACGCAATATACAATACGTAGTCAGATTAAATCTTATTTGAAATCGCTCTAGAAAAATCCAGCATCGTAAATTTTATCAACTTAATTTACTTATTACATTATATATGTCCATTATAGGTATTATCATTACAGGTATGAATAATTTATCCATAGATCTATCCCCGCCGAGGCCCGCCGCCGCCGAGTCACTTCAATCGAGTTTAGTTGCTGTGTGAATAATAAATAAATTTTAATTTGCAACGTTTCTAAAATTGTAACACTTCCCGTTCAATTAATGTAATGTTGTTTAATATGTAAATTGTAGCAAATTTTTCAAACACACTTTTTTCGGTCATTAAATTTAAATGATTTGAATCAAGAATGTCGTTTATTTTTTTTTAAATTGTATCAATTGGATATACTGTTTGATTAATGAGGACCAGTATGCCACATGATTGCTACATATGGTGTTATTGTACATAGTTATGTACAAGTCAAAAATCTGTCATTTAAAAGTCAACCTTGAGAATTAGATTTTACAACATAAATCAAAATAGCAAACAAGCCAATTGTCTGGTGACGAGTAGTAACCGACGCATATCTATATATATAAAAATATATAAGTTAAACCGTACAGTATATATAATATAAGCCAATTATTATAATATTACATTACAACTTACTATAATATTATTATATAAATAATATTATAGTAAGTTGCCTGAATGAAATAAATATACAAGAACGCAAGAACAGCACCACGGACATCAAGTTATGATGTCTTTAGTATCTCTCATGCATGACATGGAGATCAAGATGTTATGCCTTTATCTCCTGTAATTTCACTGTCATATCTCGCATTATAACTGATTTACATGACTTTGTGCATTGTCTACGTCTAGTAAAATTAGATATCAACAGGATATTAGAACTCCATACTTCTGAAGCTTATATTACAATGACAATATTTATAATATTACAAAAAGAGTACTAGATTGCCACCATCGTAGTATAAACAATGAATAAATTCAAAGAATAAGTAAACGACAGGACACGACAGAATATCAACTCTAATTTTAAATATAATAATAATGGATCTTCACGACTGTTATCCAAATAAAGTAGATAGTGACATGCCCACATTTCGTTATGTACAACACGGTTAAAGCGAGCACACCGTCTATCCGCCGATTTGTTAGATTAGTTATCTATGTTTTACCATCACCGGAGAATCAGTCGGTAATCTCAATTAAAGAACTTTCTGGGCAAATTTGAACTCACAACCTTACGATGTAAGCCCGTAAAAGCCACGACCACTAGGCCCTGACGTTCTTCATATATATCCATATGCTCGTCTATATTTCAATGCTTCATTCAAAATCATGTTATATTAAAGTGTGTTCAATGTTCATTTACTTTTCTATTTAAAATGAATTACAGTTGTAATTACTCACAGCGTAAAATTTGAGCCATTATGCAATAAAGGGTTTTATTATATGTAACATGTGTTTCGCGTGTGAATCATCTTCAAATGTAATTATCTCCCCAATGAGTAAATGTGTGGTACAAGTCATAAACTTTTAGCTAAACGCAGCAATCAGACATATAAACTAGATTATCAATGACTTTTAAACTGTTTAATAAAAATATAACAACATTATATTTGAAAGCACTTTGAACAATAAAGAACTTTACAAATACAATAAAACCTATAAGAAAAAAATACTTTATGCTGGGTTAGCTATTAGCTAACCCACGTCTGCATCACACTTCTTGACATTTGTAATTATATTTCGCCTATTTTACATAATATCTATTTAAATTATAGCCTATATTTTATTATAATGTACAAGCGAAATTTCTTCAAAATCCTTTCTGTAGCTTTTGTGTGACAGAGTAACAAACATACATCCATCCATTCATCCAAAGTTTGTACAAACTTTCTTGTAATACTAAGAAGTAAAACTCTCTCTCTGCTTACGAGTTACTCCAATCCATTAACTTAATTATGCAATAGCATCGTAAAGGTTGTCAGAATTGGACGTTCCCCGCGGCGCAGTGCAACGGCTGCATTGCGCATTCATTGCAGGTTCAATGCCACGGCCAGTCTGTTTCGGTCAAAGATGCTCGTTAAACGTTATGTAATTTTTAATAAGAGCTGTCTAAAGAATGAACATCATTTTTTATGCCATTATGCAATTAAGTTCCGTTAACATGTTTACTATAATAAATTTGGTAGTTTGCTAGTTTTTTCTACCATTATCACATTTTTTTTATATAACTATTAATGACAACTTGTAATCACGTTATCATGTGCTCATGATACTACTCATGCGTTTCCATTCGGAGGACTAAGATGTCATCGCTCTTATCCATCCAGTAATTTCACCATTTTATCCTACCTTTCAACCGAAACACAGATCATAAAATAAAGCTATTTAGCAGCTGAATTATTATATAGTAGCACAATAAAGTTCAATCATGAAAAACTATCAAAACTTTAGATAATAAAGAATAGTTTTAAAAACTTTTTTTAAAATCTTAATATGAATATGTAGAGGTAACGACTTTAATAAATAAATTATTTATAGTCAAAGCTACTATAAAACGTAGATATTTAAGAAATATCACTATTTTAAATAGTAAGCATCTACTAAGAAAGTGTTTTTGAAAAGTTCATCGCAACATAGTAACGCGTTCAAAGCCGCGAGTTATATTCTATTAATTTTTATATATTAACACAAAAACGAACTGACTTAGCTCTGTGAATAATATAATGTCACATATATAATTATCGTCATAGCTATAAAAACACGTTAATTGAATATTACCTTTTACTACGTTACTGGTTTATTACTTTATTCAAAGTAATTTACTCGAGAGCTATTATTACGCAATAGCTCTATTTTATTGACAGCTTATTTGATATATTATTAGCTGTTAATAAAATTATATGTATAATTATACCTGTAACAATACATGTTACAATTAATTTAATTTTTTTTACTTTTTTGGTATATTTAATGAAATAGCAAATATGCTGACGAGGCACTTAATTACATGAACTGCATAACATGACCTCATGACCTTTTGTGACCCCCGTGGTGACTCCAGGGGACTAGGATGTCATGCCTGCGTAGCCTGTTACTTCTCTGGCATGTCTCGCTACCTACCATTCAATCGAAACACAGCATACAAAATATTTATTTGCGAATTCCACGTACCGTACAATATTTGTATTCATGAGTATGATATTATTTGTATCGGTCTAGGTGTTTTTTATGTATGTTATGTATGCATTTATAAAAAAATAAATATTTGTATCAGTTGTCTAGTACTTATAACACAAGAAATGCTTAGCATGGGACTAGATGACATGTGAATTATCCATGGATATCTTTAATATTATTAAAGATAGCCAGACGACTTTTTACTAAGTCTACCTCTGGGAATCTTTCCTATTGTTATATGTATATAAAGAGTACAAAGAAAAATGCTGTAGGTATGTGCTAAGTTACTGTGCTACTTGTTCTTTTGTATGTACATGCATACAAAAGAACAAGTAGCACAGTATGTATGTACAACATGTATGTATAATCTTAACACATCCAATATTCAAAATATATTTATTCATTAGGTCTATTACAGACTCTTATGATATGTCAAATCTACCATTAAGTCGGAATGATTTTGAGATGAGAAGAACTGACAAGAAACTCAGCTCATATTATGTATTCTTATAAATAAATGTTGTCCATGTTTACTATAATACAGATTCATTTTTAAATTCAAATTTGGGAGAATAGAGTGACCACCAACATATGCTATTGCAAAAGCAAATAGTCCAATCAGTATTCGTAACGCATACAGAAGCAGCACTTATTCACGAGTATGACAGATGAGCCAGCCATCATTGCACTCAACCATATTAGTAGGAATACAAAATCACATAAGTATACTAGATTGTGAAACGAACAAAATTTGATACAGCACAGTTGAATGAACAATTTTAAATCTAATTTACGTTGAAATAAATCGCATTAAACCAGTCTAGAAAGGCGTAATGTAATCTAAGGGCGCGAGATTTATTTTAAATGCTCCAATTCTGCCTGAAACCCGATAGTTATTGCACATTCGGGATTGATTTCCAATTCACTTTACATATAAATTGAGGGGAGGCACCACCACACCCACACCTTGTTATACACTGTGAAGAGACACAATTAAACAGGATCATGATTAAAGAGGTAAATTTTTATTAATTAAGTACGTTTTCGGCTTAGGTGGTCTAGCGGTTTAGTACACTGCCTTACTTCCAATAGTCACGGGTTCAATCCCTCGAATGAATCAAATTTTTGTATCCATCAGTTTTTGATATGTATACATTTATAATAAATATAAATATTTTTGTCGTTGTATAGTACTCATAACATACACTCCGCTTAGTTTTGGACTATATGGTGCTGTGTAAATGGTTCAAAATCATTATTATTTATAACTATAAAAATAAACTTACTATATAAAAACTTATTACTTCTTGAAAGTACTAAAAATATCCAAAAGTAGAGTTTTTAATCAATGTAAAAATAATTTATTTCAACCGATAACAGAATTTGCAGTGTACTTCTTTTATTTACAGCTGGCAATCCTATTATACATGGTGTTGTCTATATCATGTACGGTGTTACATCAGCCTATACATATACTTCGTGTCCTGAATTATGAACACACTCCCAATTATAACTTCGCTTATGAAGTCAACGACGCGCATACGGGAGACGTGAAAAGTCAGGACGAATTACGTCGAGGGGACACTGTACTTGGACAATATTCTCTAATACAACCTGATGGACTTAGAAGAACTGTTGATTATAGAACTGACGATCATACAGGATTTCAAGCGACTGTCAACAATGATGGACGACCCATCGATCAACCAATATCAGATATAAACGACAACATGTCTGAAAACAAAATTGATGTTCAAATCATTCATCCACTCCCTACTCCAACCATCGCTACTACTACTCAAGCACCAGCAGCTGTGTCAAGAATATCCTTAGTACAATCCCTTCCCAATATCCATATAACTGATCCTTGGATATAATTTCTTGAAGATAAAACGTATATCGATAATGTAAGATAATAAGGCGACGAAAATGGACACCGAATGGATGGATAAAGTGAAAATAATTTATTCGTATGAGACATTTTTGAAGTACCTCCATATTACTAGCGACTCGCTCTTGCTTCCTACGTATTTACAGTGTATATATGACATTTGTTTAACTAGGTATATCCAGGCATTATAAACCTTTCGAAAGAAATTATCAGAAAACCAGTCAGACGGAAATAACGACTTTGTATTATACTAATAGAGATAATTATTTTAATAGACGTATTTTTGTGATTAAGAGTACATTGCTGTTGCAATATCAATAGCTTTATAGAGCTCTTGTTGGTAACAGTAAATGTGAATCGAAACGTCGATTAAATACGTCTGCAGGAAACATTCTATTGCTATGAATATCTGTGAGTTGTATCAAATAATAAGACATAATTGGTGACCGGAGTTGTTAACCTTGCATAGTTTAAGTCTAGGGACTTTGAAGTAATACAATGGAACAAGTTGTACAAGTAATACAGTTATATAATATAATAATTTACTTGAAATGTATAAATTTATTTTCCATTTCTAAATAAATATACAGTAGAATTTAGTGTTTCATTTTGAAGAAACTTTATGTGGTATTTTAAATAAAAGTACGACATGTTCGATTATTAAAATTATTTTTTGCCTATACATATAACATATTATTTATATACATAAATGCATAAATTTTCTTTCTTAGTGGGTACAAAAAGTAGAACAACTGTTGGCACCATTAATATATTATAATTATCTACCTATTGCCGTGAAACAGTAAAGCATAAATTTTTCTGTTTGATTTGAAATATAAAATAGTCAGTATTATCACAAAAACACAATCGTATGTGAAAATCTGCTTTATATATTTTATATGGTGGACAATTTTATAGGGCTAATCACAGCAAAGAATGTCAATAGTTGAAATTCATTGTAAAACATAATGTACCTACCTCATTTGTATAAAAACTATTACTACCTACACACAAGAATCTTATAGGTTTATTATAGCTTTGAAAATATGAAAATTGGTTGTACCTCTGTATAAGAAATCAAAACTGAATAATCTAAATTAATGTTAAACGCATAATGCTAATTGATGCAGATAAAAAAACTGTTTTAATAAGAATCATGAATTTGATATTACAGATTTCAAGAATAAAAATTCCAAAGGCAATTTAATATAAATTGTTTTTGATATAATTTATAAAATCAATGTAAATTTATTCCCAAAAGTTAATGAAGAAATTACAATTATATTACAGATAAATTGTCTAAAACTCAAACATATGTCCAAATTGTTTTATTAATAATTTAATTATATTATTTTTTATTATAATATATTTAATAATAAAATTATTGTACGTATAGTTGACCCCATGTATCAATACTCAATACAATATTACTTTACAAAGTTCCGCATAACTCGTTCGCTGACCAAATACTCTCAAAAAACCCTCAGTGGACGTGACCTAGAGTCCATATTTACTGTCTTTTACTTCCTATTATTAGCGTACAATGATTGTGCAAGACTTGTATAAAAACAGTAACAAATTCAGGATAAATCATTCGCAGTTCACTGTGCAACAAAAACTAACGTATCGAAATGGCAGCTAAGGTAAAGGGTTCTTTGTGTTAAGTGTATTAAGCCCTTGATAATCACGGATTATTCAAAGTGTTTTGACTCAGTTCTGTTAATAATTAACATTTAATTTCATAGTATTTAAGATGCTATCAGTGAATGTTATAGTTTACTAGTTGTTACCAGTGACTTCGTCTGCATTTTTTAAGATAAAGGATAGCTTATATTGATCCTACATGGAGATATAATATATCAAATTTCATTAAAATATTTTACTTTTAGTACACGAAATGGCATTATAATTCTAATAGCATCTGGTTTAATTTAATTTAGAATTAAACAAAACACGTTACATCAATATTTATTAATCACATTCACAATTATATCTTTCTAGTAATAATATTGAAAAAGTACTTAGATTTTAAGAACCTTAACCAAAGTTTAATTACCGTTCTTAGTCGATAACAGTGAGTAGAAGAATTTATTTATTGAACATATATAATTTTTATGTAGTAGAAATCATTCAAACTAATTTGATATATCTATTAGAACTATAATTAATATAGGACATTGGAACATGTAAAAGTATTTTTTTTAATAAAATTTTTATTTTACAGTTCGTCGTTGTTGCTTTGATGGTGGCGGCCGCCCGTGCCAGCGGCGTGCAAGACTACACCAGCTTCTCTTATGGTGTATCCGACCCGCATACCGGAGACGTCAAAAGCCAACACGAGACCCGTGTCGGTGACAGCGTGGTTGGACAGTATTCCCTCCTCGACTCTGACGGCACAAAGCGCACCGTCGACTACGCCGCTGACGCTCACTCTGGATTCAACGCCGTCGTCAGGAAAGACCCCGCCCTCATCGCCCATGCCGCACCCGTTGTTGCCCCCATCGCTCCCGTCGTTGCCCCCGTTGCTCCCGTAGCTTACTCCAGCGCTCTCGCTCATGGAGGTATTGCCGCTCCTCTAGCCTACTCCGCCCCTCTAGGCTACTCCTCCCCTCTTGCCCATGGTGCTATCGCCTCTCCCCTTGTCCGTAGCGTTATTGCCTCTCCCTTAGCCCATGGTGGTATCGCTGCTCCCCTCGGAGCTATCGCCTATGGCGCTGGACATGGTCTTTATGGCTCTCATTTGGGTTACTAAACTGTATTAGCAAACTAAATATATATGTGTAAATAGAATAAATTATGACCGTGTCATACCTGAGCGAACTGCTGTGATTATGTACAAAAAATTAAATACTTTTTGTAATTTAAGAGAGAGAAAAATGTAAAAGACCAACTTTTACATTTTTCTCTCTCTTCTTTATATTACACGTAGTGTATATTGAGTAACACTTGATCTTAAAAATACAAGTGCTTGTATATCATAAGATAAGTTGTTGAAAATGTTGTCAAGTTTAGTTTCATTTTTCATTATCTATATCTATCTATCTATCTACGTCTTCAACTATCTTTTGAAGAAATAAAAAGTTACTTACTATTAATACTGCTATTTATTAGTCAGTTACATGCATTTGTTAGGTAAAGATATAGAATTTATTTTCTGAATAGATATTTCCGATTAGTAGATTACTAGACGTTTAGATTTTAAAATAAAACCAGATGATCCAGCAAACGTTATTTTGCCATATAAATTGAATATATATATAGCTATAAAAATAGGGGTTTGTCTTAAAAGGATAAAAATTTGAAGCTGTATGTACTTTTCAATGAATGAATTTCAATAAATTGATGCTGAATAGAATAAAAATAAATTATCGAAAAATAAAAGAAAAAAAAATAGATATGGGTCACCCTTATGGGCAAAATCGGTTAAGCCGTTTCGGAGGAATTTGGTAACAAATATCGCGACGCAAAAAAATATTTATTAGAGTGTTAAGAAAACAAGTATTCAGATTATAATAATAATACAATCTATGTAATGCCTACTTGAATATCAAATTTTATTACAATTGGATGAATCAAGATATCATGAACATATACACTCAATTTCGCATTTATAATGTTTATTGTTCATGTATAATATAATAATATATGTAAATATTGCAATTGGAAAGAAAATAAATAATCACACATAAACATACTCATTTACATAAACTTTACTCATATTACCAGCCTATATACACAGTCATTTGAAGCAGTCCACATAGTCGATATTATTAATCAGATATATATTACCAACCCAATCGGGCACCATAGCCATGACCATATCCAAGACCGGCTAAGGGAGCGCCGTGTCCTCCATAAGCACCGTAACCTCCGTATCCACCATAAGCTAGAGGAGAGGCAAGACCACCGTGAGGAGCGTAACCGTGGGCGACAGTCGTTGAATACCCAATTGGGGCATTATACGCTACAGGAGCGGCATGGGCCAGAACTGGGGCCGCATGGGAGAGAACTGGGGCCGCATGAGAGAGAACAGGGGCCGCATGAGATAGAACAGGGGCCGCATGGGAGAGAACTGGGGCGACAGGAGCGGGATGAACAGAAAGACCCTCTTTACGGACGACAGCGTTGAAACCAGTGTGAGGGTTGGCAGCGTAATCGACGACTCTCTTAGTGCCGTCAGGCTCCAGGAGCGAGTATTGCCCTACTACGCTGTTTCCAACACGTTTCTCATGTTGATCTTTGACGTCACCAGTGTGTGGGTCCCGTACTCCATATGAAAAACTGGAGTAATCGACGTTAGCTTGGGCGGCTGCTACCAACATTGCAACTATAACAAACTAAAAAAAATAATGTTAATAACAATGTATCTTCGCGACTGTTCTTCGAGAAGGAACTCAGAGACATCGTTAACTGTGATCTTGTGGTAAACCTAACACTTAACATGCCCTAATCGCTAAAAAGCGGGTCTGTCATGGCCTCTCAAATTAAATTTTGATTGTTAACGGTGTTTCTTCATCAGAAATATAAATAGACATAAATAGGTTTTGGTATCGATCCCGGTTTTAAGTCACGGTCATCGAGGTAGTAAGCCATTACTTTTATGCGCAAGTACTAGCATTAAATTAATGAAGTGTCAACGATATGTAAAAATACAAACAAACAGACTATTATTGATTTTTACGCATCAGATAAACTATTTATTACCTTAGTGGCCATTGTTGTTCTTGTTTACAATACGAGGTTCAATTAAATACTGATTAAATCCAGCGATTTCTATTATTTATATTCCACCAAACCATCCAAGTGTAGTTTTGGGGGTCAAAAAACGAAGTCATTGTTACTAGAAGTACGCCTATATTAAGTAACACGAGCATATATTATAATTAACAAAATATTTTTAAAAATATTAATACTATTTCAGTCTTAACTAAAACATAATTAATATTTATGTACATGTATTCCATTCCTTTATACTGTTTGTTTCTTGGCAAAAGATGTTCGACCGTATTTCAACTAATAATAGTCTTTATTTTGAATGGATGGATAAACAAACATCCCAAATGATGGAAAATGGAAACCATCACTGGACATAACTCACACGGACATCTCAAAATCGGCGCTCCCTTTATATTTCAAACTTATGATAATTGAATACATATAATATAATAATAACTAATACTGAACAATATACACAAACCCATGTAGTCCCAAGCAGAGCTTGTGTTATGGGTACTAAACAACTGGTAGAATATTTAGATACATTTTTTCTTTGTAAATACATAGAAAACATCCAGACACAAACAATCATTCTCATGAATACAAATATTTGACCCATGCAGGGAATCAAATCCGTGGCCATCGGAATTATAAAAATTATATATTTTGTTTGTATATGCGGACAAAACCTTCAGAACCTATGCATAAAATTTGTTGCAAATATACCCTAATAAAAAAAGTTATTACATAGATTCATATAAAACATATTTTGTTCCTAGTACCACAAACCTGCCATTGTACATTCCATTACATAAAACAAATCGCCGGAGCCATAAGAAGAGAAAAGAATGCATTACATTTTTGAATTTCGAATTGAACATGTTCCAAATTGAAAACATAGAGATGCCATGTCGACATAACAAACTTGAGTTGTCAAAATGTCATTCACCTAAACAACGCTTGTTACAGTTTATAATTGGCATATAACAAGTTGAAACATAGAAACTGTACTGTAATGTAAAAAAACTTATTTTAATATAATAGTATAAAAAAATTAACTGTATGCTAACTTCAACTTTAAAAAAAGAAGATGATCTCGATTCTTCTTATTGCAACGATACATGTGTCGTTCAATATATTGTTTATGCCTTTTCTTTACTGTATATTACAAATAAAGTATATTCTATCTTATATTTCTTTTGAAAACGGTAATGCTGTGCCAATTCCTAAAAAAAAGTCAGAACGTTTTACATAAAATGGGCAATGTAATATTTTGGAAATAATGTAGTGTGCTTGTATTAATTAAAAAAACTATTTCACCTATACTCTCTTTTAACTTTATATTGTTCCAGGATATACTCTATATATCCTGTACTAACCTACAGAGCGTTATTTTGTATATTTAAATTTACATCAACTGAAAACATTATAACTGGAAAGCAACAACATTGCATATTAGCAAATAAACATTGGAGTTTCATGTGCACGGTTTATTTTGAAGTTCCAATCTATTTCACATTCAAATGCATTCAATTCTCTTGCATGATGCTTAGATAAATATAATAACAGTTCATTGTACTTGTAGGTTGGATTATTTAGAAAACACATTGGTTATTATCCACAGTAGCATTTGCATATTGTGTTTATAACCCTACATATCGTCACCCTTGGAAATTCATTGATTAAAATAACTGTTTTTGTGTATAATTTTTTTTTTATCTCACAGGCATGGTAAACAAAATAGACAGCCTATATGATGGTAAATGGCAGCCGTCAAATATGTTCATTAACAGTACTACTGGCTTCACTTGTTCACATCCCTCCAATTATACGCTATCCCATTCTAACGGGAATCGAATTTATAACAGCCTGAGCTTTAATCCGTACGGTACCTGTAGACTTTTTAGTTAGTTTTTTAGTTAGGTACGAATTTGAATTATTTACGAATTTTCGTATCGTAGTTTGTCTCTTTATAAGTTTTTCCGCAGGTTTGTAGTGTGTTTTACACTCGCCTCAATTTTCGAACGTTGAAGCTCTAAAAGTCAGCTGCGACCAATAGTATTAGAATAATTATAAAAAATAAATCATCTAACACCCGTATTATCGTACCGTAGATTTCAAACCTCCAAAGCAAAATACTGCTATATGTTTATCCTTCAACTGAAACTGAGTTTTCAAAGCAATCAAATGTAGCATATAATAAATTATAATATTAAAAGTATGTAATGAAATAGCTATATAAGTACAGGGAAGATTCAGGAGTGATAGCAATATTTTGACGACAATCTATTTTGTAATGCTCATAACATATTAACAAATAATAGTTATACACTATTACTATACTAGATAAAGCATCAGTTTGTTTTTAATTACAATCCTATAAAAAAATCTTACATATTGATGACCAGGTTCTTAAAGTATCTGTAAATCTTTATGATAACCATGACTTACTTAATCCCATTGAAACCGTTATCATATTACATTAATAACAAAACTATGGTAAAGTAAAAAAGGAAGAGGACTTCCTTTTGTCTGTTACTTAGTGGTGTATCTTACCTATTTCCTTCCAAAAATTTGATTTGGTAATTCATGTAAATTTTTCATTACGCTAGTATATAAGTTGAAACAATGCTCCTCAATCCATCAGTTGTGGTGTAAACATCAGGCGAAATGTTGGCTAAGGTAATAAAAATATAATAAATTGACCGCGATTACAATCGACCTTTTTTTAATTAACTGTCTCAATTAACCGCGAAACAAATATGGGTTGGCGTTCAAGAATGTTAAAATTCTTCTTTTGTACAGACGTGTTAAAAATTAAATTTTTTTTTTCAAAATTCTTGGTTCGATACTCAGGAGTTTCATAATAATTTATACATTATACTGATTCCTGTGGAATGCTTATTCAATTCTTAATCAGTATTTTTTAAATACATGTATAAATATAACATTAATTATACATCATACAACATTTTCAGCATCTTTTCATTCATTTCATTATTTCAGTCATTCTAATTATGATCTCTCTTCTAATATAAAAATGAAATAGCAAAGTAATGTAATTGACAATTTTATACATAAATAAAATTGATTTCATATACATAAAGATTATTCAAAATGAGGATTACTGTTTAACTTAATTTTATAACTACTTAGCATTTAAATTATTAAATAGTATTACTGTAATCCCATCATATAATTTTATTTCTTCTATTTCTATTCTTTATAGTTGTTTTATGTCAATTATTTTTAGTCTTTACACAACAAATTGTAAATATGTTTTATAATACTTATATAACTAAACTCGGATAGAACCTGATATTTATATCTGTATCTCATACAATGCATATATCTTGACTATTCAACATTTTCTTTCATCAACAGATAACAGTGTTCGCTTTACTGGCTGTTGCTGTCCATTGCAATGTCCCCGGCAAAGACTACTCAAGCTTTTCATACGGTGTATCCGACCCTCATACTGGCGACGTTAAAAACCAACAGGAAACCCGTGTAGGAAGTACTGTTGTAGGTCAGTACTCGCTTCTCGAGTCTGACGGCACTAAGCGCATCGTGGATTACTCTGCCAACCCTAGTACTGGTTTCAACGCTGTGGTTCGTAAGGATGGTGTCTCAGTTCACCCGTCGGGGCCAGTAGGATATGCAGCACCAGCATACTCCGGTTACAGTGGATACGCAGCTCCTTACGGTCATGGTGCTGTCAGTTATTCGAATCTGTACAATAGCGTCGCATCTCATGGACTCGGATATGGCGCGGGAGCATACGGACACGGAGCTGGTCTCGGATACGGAACCGGTCTGGGCTACGGGGCTGGACTTACTGGGTACAAAAGCGGTCTGGGTTACGCTGGATTAGGATACGGCGCGGGTCTCGGATACAATGCAGGTCTCGGATACAACGCAGGTCTCGGATACGGCGCTGGTCTCGGATATGGGACTGGTTTAGGTTACGCGTCTGGTCTCGGATACGGTTATGGAGCTGGTCTTGGTTATGGTAGCCGTTTGGGTTGGTAGAAAACATAAATATCAGGCTGATTTATGATGTGATCGAATTAAAACCATATCTGAAAGATGTCAAAACATATTTTTGAATGAAGTCTATTAAAATTAAAACGTTACATATATGTAAATAAAAATAATAGACATGTAAATAAACTATTTTGTAAAATAAACTTCTATAAAGTTATAAAAGAACAAACATTTTCAAATATTATTTTATTTCGATTAACAAAATGATTCTGTCGTAACAACGCCTGCTATTTGGTATGAAATGGACTTTTTGAATTACTTCGCAACATGTAAATATACTTAATTTCTTGCAATAAATATATCAAAGTGATGATACGTTTTTTTATTATTCGAATACTATAATTAAGGTAATATAATTATTTATAATGTTTTCCGTTTCCTTTTGTTAATATGTAAACAAATAATAACGTATAGAGAACATTGAAAGTAACCTTGCCATCGTAATTTCATATGCACAGATACTGATTTTAATTGAATTATAAATTATCTACGGTTTAGACTATTTATATGAGGTACCAATCCATTTATGATCTTTGAAAGATTTTCCATCGACGATAGGTAATTTAGATACGGTATTGTAGTAAAAATATTGGTAATCAGTAGTATTTTTTTTTAATAATATGGGTATGTTTTTTTCAAGATTTCATTATAAGTAGTAGTATAAAGCTAAGGTTATGCTACAGTTTATAATAATTCCGTTCTCTATTTAGTCACTGATACTTAGAAAAACTTTATTCGATGTATTAAAGAATGGCAAGTTTTAACGAGTCCCAGTAATTATTGAGAAACTATTGTAAAAAATAGTGCAAATTCTACAATCTATATTGTTATTGACAGAATGAGGATTTTATTTCGGAAAATAAAGATATTGAAGTAAAAACAGATAGTAATAGAGAATAATTAATATACTATATGTTAAATAACCTACGGATAATAGTAAAGTAAAATAATTGATTATATATTAAAATACATAGACAATATCAATAAAATTAGAATACGAAACTTTAAAAACGTCTAAAAAGTTTGAAACTCATTAAAATAACCAAAATTATAGAAATAATAAATATTAATTACTTTAATCGAATAACCAAATACTAAGCGTCGTCAATTATAAATGCCATTATTGAAAAAAGGTCCTAACATCCTTCGTCTGTCCTTGCTTTAGACAGCTTGACGTGGGTTCGATCTATGGACAAATCAATTAGAAACCAGTACCGATCATTATTTAAAAAAAAATGCGTGTCGAAATAAAAAATTCCAATTTTAAATATTCGAACGCATATAATAAAGACTTTGTAATGTGTACATTAACTATCATTACACAATATTTTTTACCGCTAAAATCGAATCGAATTGTGCCAGATATGTTAGATTTGGTCCAATCAGAACAAATATGCTAAAAATACTTTACATTAGTCAACACCTCATTTAGAAATATAAACACATTAAAAGAATGAAGGAATACTGTATTACTACAATTAACATATTTATAGATTTCAAATTCTTGAGATGCAATGTCGATGGACTAAGATGTCATGCCTCCAGACACTACAATGTCCGCATTCCCCTAGAAAGTTGCAGAGTTGATCGTGGGGCTTGCCCCGAGATCATCTGTTGTTTTGTGAGGACAAACCTCAGAAAACAAAAACCCCCGGGGAACTGGAATGACAGCCTCGAAGAGGACAGACAATCCTAAAATATTAAATATGCGTAACTATAGAGAGAACATCATAATATGTACAGCTTATCTTATAGCTAACTTAAGATCTAGTACAATATTTGAGGATTTTTTTAAGATACATAAATATTTTTTATTTTTTAATATTTTAAAAATTAAGATGATATGTTGTCAAAATTAAGTAAGAGAAGGGGTAGAAGACGTAGATGAATTCATATAAATTGTACCCTGGTATGACAGTATATCTATATAATAATGTATTTGACTGTATACTATACATCCTCGCCAAAACAATATATATGTATATATCCCCATGATTCATTTTGTAATGGCTTACACTCGTATCTTATTCGTACATCTTATTCTAATATTGTCAAAATCAAGATATTTTTAAGAAATTAACAATTAAATGATTGTGATTTATTAATTATTTTTGCGAGGTTTCATCTCAGCAGACCAGTTGTGAATAAGCAAGAGAGTAAAACAGGCGATCAGCCTTGAGATGCGAATGTGGAGCAATGCATAATAAGCCAATACTGATCTTGTTTATATAATTTATCTTCTTGAATGCTGCACTATTTTGTATTTAATAGGAAAAATTAATACTAACCAAGTTACATGCAACTCTGTTGATTTAACTGCCTTGGCAACAGAGTTACTTAGTGGGTACCCTGATATTTATATCTGTATCTCATACAATGCATATATCTTGACTATTCAACATTTTCTTTCATCAACAGATAACAGTGTTCGCTTTACTGGCTGTTGCTGTCCATTGCAATGTCCCCGGCAAAGACTACTCAAGCTTTTCATACGGTGTATCCGACCCTCATACTGGCGACGTTAAAAACCAACAGGAAACCCGTGTAGGAAGTACTGTTGTAGGTCAGTACTCGCTTCTCGAGTCTGACGGCACTAAGCGCATCGTGGATTACTCTGCCAACCCTAGTACTGGTTTCAACGCTGTGGTTCGTAAGGATGGTGTCTCAGTTCACCCGTCGGGGCCAGTAGGATATGCAGCACCAGCATACTCCGGTTACAGTGGATACGCAGCTCCTTACGGTCATGGTGCTGTCAGTTATTCGAATCTGTACAATAGCGTCGCATCTCATGGACTCGGATATGGCGCGGGAGCATACGGACACGGAGCTGGTCTCGGATACGGAACCGGTCTGGGCTACGGGGCTGGACTTACTGGGTACAAAAGCGGTCTGGGTTACGCTGGATTAGGATACGGCGCGGGTCTCGGATACAATGCAGGTCTCGGATACAACGCAGGTCTCGGATACGGCGCTGGTCTCGGATATGGGACTGGTTTAGGTTACGCGTCTGGTCTCGGATACGGTTATGGAGCTGGTCTTGGTTATGGTAGCCGTTTGGGTTGGTAGAAAACATAAATATCAGGCTGATTTATGATGTGATCGAATTAAAACCATATCTGAAAGATGTCAAAACATATTTTTGAATGAAGTCTATTAAAATTAAAACGTTACATATATGTAAATAAAAATAATAGACATGTAAATAAACTATTTTGTAAAATAAACTTCTATAAAGTTATAAAAGAACAAACATTTTCAAATATTATTTTATTTCGATTAACAAAATGATTCTGTCGTAACAACGCCTGCTATTTGGTATGAAATGGACTTTTTGAATTACTTCGCAACATGTAAATATACTTAATTTCTTGCAATAAATATATCAAAGTGATGATACGTTTTTTTATTATTCGAATACTATAATTAAGGTAATATAATTATTTATAATGTTTTCCGTTTCCTTTTGTTAATATGTAAACAAATAATAACGTATAGAGAACATTGAAAGTAACCTTGCCATCGTAATTTCATATGCACAGATACTGATTTTAATTGAATTATAAATTATCTACGGTTTAGACTATTTATATGAGGTACCAATCCATTTATGATCTTTGAAAGATTTTCCATCGACGATAGGTAATTTAGATACGGTATTGTAGTAAAAATATTGGTAATCAGTAGTATTTTTTTTTAATAATATGGGTATGTTTTTTTCAAGATTTCATTATAAGTAGTAGTATAAAGCTAAGGTTATGCTACAGTTTATAATAATTCCGTTCTCTATTTAGTCACTGATACTTAGAAAAACTTTATTCGATGTATTAAAGAATGGCAAGTTTTAACGAGTCCCAGTAATTATTGAGAAACTATTGTAAAAAATAGTGCAAATTCTACAATCTATATTGTTATTGACAGAATGAGGATTTTATTTCGGAAAATAAAGATATTGAAGTAAAAACAGATAGTAATAGAGAATAATTAATATACTATATGTTAAATAACCTACGGATAATAGTAAAGTAAAATAATTGATTATATATTAAAATACATAGACAATATCAATAAAATTAGAATACGAAACTTTAAAAACGTCTAAAAAGTTTGAAACTCATTAAAATAACCAAAATTATAGAAATAATAAATATTAATTACTTTAATCGAATAACCAAATACTAAGCGTCGTCAATTATAAATGCCATTATTGAAAAAAGGTCCTAACATCCTTCGTCTGTCCTTGCTTTAGACAGCTTGACGTGGGTTCGATCTATGGACAAATCAATTAGAAACCAGTACCGATCATTATTTAAAAAAAAATGCGTGTCGAAATAAAAAATTCCAATTTTAAATATTCGAACGCATATAATAAAGACTTTGTAATGTGTACATTAACTATCATTACACAATATTTTTTACCGCTAAAATCGAATCGAATTGTGCCAGATATGTTAGATTTGGTCCAATCAGAACAAATATGCTAAAAATACTTTACATTAGTCAACACCTCATTTAGAAATATAAACACATTAAAAGAATGAAGGAATACTGTATTACTACAATTAACATATTTATAGATTTCAAATTCTTGAGATGCAATGTCGATGGACTAAGATGTCATGCCTCCAGACACTACAATGTCCGCATTCCCCTAGAAAGTTGCAGAGTTGATCGTGGGGCTTGCCCCGAGATCATCTGTTGTTTTGTGAGGACAAACCTCAGAAAACAAAAACCCCCGGGGAACTGGAATGACAGCCTCGAAGAGGACAGACAATCCTAAAATATTAAATATGCGTAACTATAGAGAGAACATCATAATATGTACAGCTTATCTTATAGCTAACTTAAGATCTAGTACAATATTTGAGGATTTTTTTAAGATACATAAATATTTTTTATTTTTTAATATTTTAAAAATTAAGATTGATATGTTGTCAAAATTAAGTAAGAGAAGGGGTAGAAGACGTAGATGAATTCATATAAATTGTACCCTGGTATGACAGTATATCTATATAATAATGTATTTGACTGTATACTATACATCCTCGCCAAAACAATATATATGTATATATCCCCATGATTCATTTTGTAATGGCTTACACTCGTATCTTATTCGTACATCTTATTCTAATATTGTCAAAATCAAGATATTTTTAAGAAATTAACAATTAAATGATTGTGATTTATTAATTATTTTTGCGAGGTTTCATCTCAGCAGACCAGTTGTGAATAAGCAAGAGAGTAAAACAGGCGATCAGCCTTGAGATGCGAATGTGGAGCAATGCATAATAAGCCAATACTGATCTTGTTTATATAATTTATCTTCTTGAATGCTGCACTATTTTGTATTTAATAGGAAAAATTAATACTAACCAAGTTACATGCAACTCTGTTGATTTAACTGCCTTGGCAACAGAGTTACTTAGTGGGTACCCTAAAATTTATAAAGACGTATATTTTATGATATTGAAATGATGACACTCGTAAACAGAGTTACTTAGTGGATATCCTAAAATGTATACAGAAAGGCATTAGAATATTGTAATGATGATACTCATATATATTACGTAATTGAATGGTATATGAATTATAAAGGAAAAGAGAGAAAAGGTAATATAGAAATTATCCTTATTAAAATAAATTTAATTTTAAACATTTTTAAAGGACAATTTTCTGCCGCCACCTTCATAATGTAAATTTAATTTATAATATTTTTCACTGAGCATCACTAATAGAAAAAACTCTGATGTTGTTGAAGATTATGGTTTCCAGGATGGCCCGCTTGGAGGTTGATCTGACATCGTACAAAGGTAGCAGTAATCCCCTATACTAATAAACAGAGGGGATTCTCCTTTCTGCCTTCCTGTTCCCTCTCTAGGAGAAAGGGTTGAATTTGTTTATTATAATTTCCAAAAATATGATAATATAAATTTAAGGCCTAAGATTGAAAATTAAGGATAATCTCACTATTCTATTTAGTATACTATGATAATAATTTAATAAAAAATCATTTGTAACTTGTCAATGATGCAGTTTAATAATTTAAATATAGAATAAGAATATTCGAATTTTTTATATCTTAATAATTTATCATACCTAAATAATATATAATTTCTGCATTATACAATTTATTTAGAAGTTCTTTCCCAGTTTTCTAAACAATATGTATAGTATATGCATCTGAAATAATACATATTTGCTTATATTTTCATATAAATCTGTACCTTGTGTATATTTCCTTCCATTTTACTCGGGGCTCAGCTGAGCGGCGTGCGAAGATTGGGTGTTGCAATTATGCTGGATTATTAATTAGAGTAGAGATGCAGTAGCTGAATTTTGAACAAGATGCTGGAGTGTGGCGTACCTAAGATTTTGTGTAATCACGGAATTAACACAGTTAATTAAAAAGCATATGTTTGACATGGCGTCTTCTTTGAGAAAAAAGTGATAATTAGTCGAAATTATAAATAAATATTTTTGTTTCCATAAACTACTTGTAGTATTAGGTATAAATATGCTGAAAGTATGTCAGTTTCTCTATTTTGTCTTGTAACCTTTTTACCACTGAACTTCACTGGTAATAGAAAGACAACATACTGAAAGATCTTGGTGAAGATGACACAATGTCACTAGGAAGGACAGAGGCTATCATGTAACACAAAAGAGCAGAGAATATTCAGGGTTATAGCTAGTCATTTTTTTTTCATAAGATCTTATGAAAAAAAAATGACTAGCTATAACCCATATTCTTATTTATACTTATTCTAGATTAGTTTAGTATATTATACGAGTTGAAGCTTATAGTGGTTTATTACTCCTAGTAATTTATTCTGATTGATCATCATGATAATATTTGATGATAAACAGTTATGATGATTAGTACGCTCATACGCAATGTTTAATTTTACATCTCTATTAGCTATATCTGCTTAACATTTAGATTAAATATGCACTGCAAACATACATAAATATTTATGAATTAAACAAGGTTTATTTTACAACTTGTACGTACATGTAATTTTTATAGTTTGAAATAAGAAAAGTGCAGATTGAGCAGTGAAATTATAAGAATCATGACATGTTAATCCCCAGCAATAATAACGCATGAGTAAATGAATGGTAGCTCATGGTAATGTGAATTCAATACTGTTTCTGTATATAGGTGACGGTTACCACTTAACCATCAAGTTGCCATTCCAAATATATAAAAATATATGTTAACATACTCAGATCAGCTATGCCCAGAAGTTCAGACACTTCTTGGTATCTTCGGGAAGCAGGTATAGAAGGTTGACGTATAAGTGTCTTATTAAAAGACAGAGTCTATAATTTGTTTATTTGTATGGTACTTTATTGTATCGTAAAATGTTATTAAATGAATGAATATACAATTAATGTAGTATTACGATACGTAAAATATTAGAAAATAAATTTGAAATAAACTAGTACTATACTTGTAGTCTACATATAGAAAACTAGATAATACTCGCGGCTATATCCTTTCTCATAAGATAACCTATTTGTGCACAAAACTAATTAAGATCCTTCGATCTTAGAGACACACTTTCGCATATTTAATATTAGTGTTGATTACAAGTTACGATAAACATTTCTTTGTGGTATAATAATATTGCATCATGGTTATACTGCTCCTGTACAACAAATAGCACAGTTTAGTTATAGTACAGCTGGACACAACCTGCGATCGAATTTAGACGCCGTACTACGAAAGGTATCCGGCCTTTCGCGTATCAATAACGGCTGATGCAAGTTTGCAACACTGAATGAAGCTGATGCAATGTTATAGTAAATTGAGTGTTTTCTTTTGTACATCACAACTCCACAATGGGCAAGTATACAACTGTTATGTGAGGTCTTTTAAAAGTGAATTTAGATTAAGCGAGCGAATATTACGTTGTATTGTTGCGGGTGAAAAATTTTCTCCCTGTAACGGGCAATTTTTGTGAAGAAGCTATGAGAGGACAATAAGTAGTTACGAGTATTATATATACTATATTACTTGATTGCTTATTTAATCGCTAATATTACTTAATTTTATTTTTACACTCTAAACCTATATGGCTCTTTGTTAATTCGTTTGTTATATCATAAAATTATATAGTTAGTTACGCTATATCCCCCAAAATATTGTAACATATTTTTATGACAATTGTAGGTTTGATTTTCTTATACACCCTAATTTAAAAATATACTTGTCATAATTATATTTTGGTACAATAAAATTTATGAAAAATTTAATATAAAAAACTTACTTAAAAATTTATAAATATATGAGATTCGTTGTAAAAATGAGACATATTAGAGAAAATAAGTGATATTTTCTGATATATTTTGTTTATTACTTAGTAAACACCTATAAAAAAATAATAACCTTTTGATTAAAATTAATATATATTAATATAAAACAGTTTAAATATGGAACACCGCATTGAATACTTCATCAAAGATAGCGAAAATAATAACCTTAATACAAAACGAATTGTATCATAACAAGCTTCTCAAATTTATAGTTATTATTCTTCCTACATCATCCTTCATGTGATATTTTAAAAACTGATCCACAATTTCTCCTTTGTGACTACAGATTACCGACCGACCTTGCGTCTCAGGATTCATCTGCATAGCAATATCTATCAAGATTGACGTTTTAAAGATCAGCTAGCGACCATGCGTATACGCAGCTACCACGCCCTTGCGTTTCGTAGAGCATAATATAAAAGCACCTCGAACGCAGCATCAGTATTCATTTCTCGAGTGAATATCTTCTAGTCTCGACGCAATGGCAGCTAAGGTGATATTTCATTATATCTATTAAAATAACTAAAGTTTTATTAGTACGTTTGTGTATTAAAATTATCTTTGCGATTGTAATTTTGTACAGTGTAGTCAGTAACATTTTATTTGTACTGTGGCGAACTCTCCATAGTTAAATATCTACAATAGTTTTATTTAAAGTATAATTGTTTTATTAATAGTGTAATAAAATAAAACTTAATAATGTAATAATATTTCAGTATAATTCTCACAGCGCCATCTAGTTCTCAACTAAATAGAGCAGTACGAGTAGGTTAAATAGTGTTATAACACAATTATAACACTATTTAACCTACTCGTACTTGATACCAGAGGGTAACTTTGACGGCCTCGGTAGTCTAATAGTTTAGCAAACTGCCTTACTTCCGATAGTCGCGGGTTCAGTTCAAAAATTTGTGCTCATTAGTATGAATGTTTGTATCAGTCTAGCTGATTTCTATGTTTTATATTATGTATGTATTTACAAAAAAAATATCTTTGTATTTATATCAGTTGTCTAGTACCCATAACACAAGCCTCTCGTAACTGGGGACTAGATGAATTGTATACTAATATAATTTTATTATTATCAATAATTATATCTAAACTTGATTTTAACTACATTACTAATAAAACCATTACTTATATTTCGAATAAAATTGTTGTAGCTATTTAACTATTTTCCACCTTTCTTTCACATGTTTCTTTTCCTGGAAGTTATGACAATAGTTAAATGGCACTTGTAGGAGTTTTTCATTTTCATATATGAGGGAAATAATTTCAATTCAATAAGTATCTATGTACAAGTATATACCTTAACTGTTTTATCTGCTTCTAATGATTTTGCACTATAATGCTTATTACTATCATAGAAATCATAAATATATAATCTATTTTCTGAAGAACAATTTCATTAATTACTGTACTCGTACAACATAATTTAATTAAATTGAAAAGCACTATATTTCAGAAGAAAATCTAATATATTCTACTTTAATATATTATAATGTGTGCTTATTACAGGAAATATAAAGCGAAATATCGTATATTCTGTTATGAGATAAACTCGCTATTCATACATATTATACTACGGAACTCTCAATATCCGCGTTCTACAAAAGCTTGCTAAATTGTATGAAACATCTACTAAATTCTTGAATAAAATTATATCTAAACCAAAACTGACTGACAGGAACAAATATGGACATACATGTTTATATTGAAATTATTTCGGACCTTTTTTATGACTCAAACCTACTTACAAATGATAAATGTTACTTGTATTGTAATATCTAAATTATAAGCAATATGAAAAAGAACCTAATAAAACCCTACATATGAGTGATGTGAAGTAGTAATTTCGTGTACCTTAAGAAGAGTACATAACTTTAACTTTACGAATATTAACACAAAGCTGTTATTCATTTACAGTTCATCGTAGTACTCGCCGCTCTAGTGGCCGTCGCCCACAGCTCAGTGGTTGGAGTAGACAATGACTACACCAGCTTCGCATACGATGTAGCTGACCCTCTTACCGGCGATTACAAAAGCCAAGTCGAGACCCGAGTCGGTGGTACCGTACAGGGACAGTACTCCCTACTCGACGCTGATGGCACAAAACGCACAGTCGATTACGCTGCTGACGACGTCAATGGATTCAACGCTGTCGTCCGCAAAGACGCTGCTGTAGTTTCATCGCCTGTTGTAGCCGCTGCTCCAGCTGTCGTCTCATCGCCTATCGTGGCCGCCGCTCCATCAGTGGTAGCTGCTCGCACTATCGCCGCGCCTGTGTACTCTGCCGCAGCACCAGCTGTGGTTGCACGTACTGTTGCCGCTCCTGCTGTCTATGGTTCATCAGTTCTTGCCGCCCGTACTATTGCTGCTCCCAGCGTAGTAGCCGCAGCTCCCGCTGTTCTCGCCGCCCGCACCGTCGCAGCTCCCTCTGTGTACGCCGCTTCTGCGCCCGCTGTTCTCGCCGCACGTACCGTCGTGGCTCCCTCTGTCTACGCCGCTTCCGCACCCGGTGTCATCGCCGCCCGTACAGTCGCGGCTCCTGCTGTCTACGCCGCTTCTGCACCCGCTGTCGTCGCCGCCCGTACAGTCGTGGCTCCCTCTGTATATGCCGCCTCTGCTCCCGGCGTGCTTGCACGTACAGTAGCAGCTCCCTCTATTTACGCTGCTAGCCCCTCTGTGGTCGGTGCCCAAACTGTCGTCGGTCCTTCAGTTTACAGCACACTATCCTCTGGTCCCGCTGTTGTATCTGCTCCCTTATCATCTTGGTAACTGCCATATCAAAGATTATATCTTAAGGCTCCTTAGGTATAGACCACGACTTGCTTCGAATTACAGCGATCGATTGTAAATATAGTTACATGTTTGTACATATACAAAAGTGTGTAATATAAAATAAAAAAATATATACAAACACTATGTCTTTTTCTATATATCAATTTATTAAATTATGAACCTTATATTTCACTACATAACACTGTAATAGCGAAAAGACGGAGACATGTCTTCCGGTGATTAAGTGAGAATTATACTTCAATTGATGTATGTAATTTAAATAGACTACAAACATATACATTATTTAAGATTATGTTTTAAGTGTTCCAAAAGTTAAAATATATTTTTCTCGAATTAAATTACTCTGGACGCATCAATCAATAGTAAGTATCGTAGCAATGTAAAAGTATAATGACTCATTAGCACACTAATTTACTGACAGTAAACCGAGCTATATTAAGATAAGAAAAACTATCATAGTTTTTATAGTTAATTTAATGATACATTTAATGATAAAATTTATTGATACATTTTCGACATAAAATGTTTCTTAAATATTAGTAAATACGATTCAGTTCTTAATAAATATATTTGCACTCTTCTCTCTGATAGTAGAACTAATGTGAATGTATGTAGAATATTATTATCAATAATACCACCAAAATTGTGAATTACTGATACCGTTGAGACAATTTCAAAATCAAGTCAAGGTACAGTATGTTTTCGTTTGTTATTCCATTAGGTGATTACTGATGCAAGCTTTAACGATTGTCAATTCTGATAATCCCCGGTTTGCATTAGGATTAGTCTTAGAAGGAAATGTGAACGACTAAGCCAACTGAGACTGCATGATTTCAATGTCACAGTATCGGTAATGTATGTAATTACTTAAAACTATACTATACCTATCTACAGTTATATATTGTTGGGTGTTAGACTACTACATACTTATATTACCAGTATTAATACGCGACTAACGGTAACTGTTAGTATTAAATATAATAAAGATGATTGATTGTAATTTTACCGGTTATTGGAAAAATGTTGATATTAAAATGATATATATAATTTTTTAAATATAATGTAAACAAAAGAATATGTTATTATAATAAGAAATATATACTAATATGCAAATTCAAAAAGAGAATGATTGAATCATATAATCACGACTAAACGACCTGCACAACCAGATCATAGCTAGATATGACATGAAGATTGTTTGTTTATATAGTAATATATATAGGGGATGAATATTTAAATGAATAGCAGACGCAGTCTTGTGTAATAACTTGCATAATATAACTGTGCGAGAAATTGAACCTGCAACCATCGGAAGTGAAGCGGTGTGCTAGACTACCGAGGCCGTACCAGGAAATTAAAAGACTGAGACAAGCAGTTGGATACAGAAACATTATTTTCACCACTTGTGTATATGTTTCTAAACATGTACCATATGGTGAAAAGAAATTGTATACTTTGAGACGAGGAAATCCAAATTATTACAATATATTACATATTTTTGTTGGCTATTATTACAAATCTTCATAAGTTATCACATAGATATTTTATGGGAAGGAATATAAGGGGAATTTATACCTTTCAATTTTAAATTCGATTCCAAATATGTATAAAATCCTTACTTTTTTAGAAATTTAGAAGCGAATTTATTGTTGTCTATAAAAGCATGAAATGAAGTTGATATTTTTTAAAGAATCATCATTAATCTATCATCACATATATTAACCGTAAAATCTTGACAATACAAGCAATAAGAGTATTGGTATTTATTAATTCCCATCACTTATATTTAGTAATCACAAAAAAAGCTTTAATAAAATATTGATATAAATATATAAATCCGTTGCTGCTATTTTTAAAGCTTAATATGTTTTATGAATTGTGTCAACATGTACTATATATACTATAGTATAGCCCTGGTTTTTCTATAATAAAAAAAATATCTTTATTTTGCTTCTTGCTGAATTAAATTTAATTAACACAGTGATAATTGGCTGTAAATAAATAGGCGCAAAATAAACTTTAGTATCTGTGGGGGTTTAAGACCACAATTTCTGGATAATGATAGTGATTAAATGATTAATTGATAAGGGGTTTTCTTAAAGTAAACCGCCTTGGTTGAATGCTACTTGAACACTGATGTTATTGCTAAAGAAATGTAATGAGGTAAAATGCATTGTGAGGTGAAATTACATGTGTCGGCAATTTTGAATTGCACACACAGTAAGCAGACATGTCCGGTAGCCCGTACACGTATCTGCTAACTAAGAGGCAAAACATCATATTCTGGAATGGCTCAGTCACGGGCGTAACAAGATAAATTAATGTCCAAAGTGCTATTCATGTATATAGGCGACGGTAGCCGCTTACTACGAGGAGGAGATAAAAACCATCGCTCCTAAGAATATCCTTCAACTCTTGTCCCTAGCGGGGCTAGGTAGCGAACTCTGAAAAAGGGCGATCACAACAGATCTATGTAGGTCGCAGTGCAAGCAACTGACAATAGCCCAAACCTCAAAATAAAAATGTCGCTTACCATCAGGTAGGCCGTTTCCATTTATACAAAAAAGATCAACACAATTTGATACATAATTACGATCAGTGAAGCACTGCTTGAACTTACCAGATAAAATTTAGATCTGTTTTATGTGTTACATTAAGTATCTCACTAAATTTCAGTACAGTTGCTGTTGATAACAACCTAGAGTGCTGCGCTGCGCTTTTAACGCGGTTTGTTGGAGTGGCAACCAGGGACCAATTTAATTGGCTAAATGACTTGCCTAATATATGAGGTGAAAATTACTTAATAGTCAAATGCCTTAGGTATCTCATTTCCATAATCAGGAGGTTGCCTATGCACCGTAAGTATATACATAAAAAGAAAGTAATAATAATATATATATATTATTACTATAATGACGGCCTCGGTGGTCGCATTGTCGCAAAGCATCTTACTTTCCGATGGTCGCGGGTTCTATTCCACTCATAGTACAAATATTTGTATTCGTGAATATCATTGTTTGTATTGGTGTAAGTGTTTCATGTATATTGTGTGTGTAGAGTGTAAGAGCGTGTAGTTGACACGTTCTTAGTATTAAAGATTATAGGCGCTTATCATCAAGAGTAATACGGGCTTTGTCCCTCAATATTAAAAATATATAAATAACTGTTTAAAGTAAGTAAATTGGCTATTATCTATATACATCAAAAGTAACATGGGCTTTGTTATTTAATAGTAAAAAATATATAAATGACTAAAGTAGCAAAGTCAATAAATTAGCTTATTAAACAGCAAACTAAGTACATTACATTAATTGCTAACGAAACCAACGGCCTTGTGCTTCCGGATCCCAGTGCTTGCTTACAATGAGTACTTGCTCGATTTTTAAAGATCAACCAGTGGTCATACATAAATGGCCACGCCCTCATGTTTGGATGCTCTTATAAAAGCAACCCGTGCATTGACCATAGTATCATTTAACCAGTGAACATCCTGTAACCTAGACGCAATGGCAGCTAAGGTGATTTCTTTTTCTACTTATATATATATGTGTTAACGAAGTGATATTCTTAAGTGACAACCAAAAATTTTTAGTGTGTTCTAACACAGATTTTTAGTTTATTTCCTAGAATTAATTGTATAAGATAAATTCAAAATCTGTCTAATAAATAATTATAGGAAATAGTGAGAATAAAAATTAAGAAATAGGTTAATAAACAGTGATTATTATTGCTTTGAGAAGATTTTTTTTATTTTTAATAAATAAAAGTGCAGTGAATTATTATCAATCTGAGATGATTGATAGTTAAAACTGATTGATAGCTAAAATGGAATTATATCTAATATTATTACTTAACAAAATTAAAACATAAAAATGGATATTTTGGAATATTAGGAAATAGGAGTCAAGTTACTTGTTACAAGTCAGGATTTATGTAGAAATTAAAAAATAAGAAGTACAAATTTTTATAATAATCTTTTAATTGTAACAATATTATTTTAAGGCCTCAGTGGTCCAGCGGTTTAACACACTGATTTACTTCCAATGCACGCTGGTTCTATTCCTCGCACGCTGTAAACTTTAGTAGTCATTATTTGTGTGGAGTTGGATGTTTTCAACGTATATTGTACATGTATTTATAAAAAAAATGTATTTATACAAGTAGTCATAACACAAGCTCTGCTTATGTTGGGGTTAGATGATGCTGTGAGAATTGTTCTGGGTTGTTAATATACTATTCTGTCAATTCTAGTACAAACTATTTTATTCAAATTACATTTTATGTAGTATAATTACGATTTAATAGATTACTTCAATAAGAAAATGTAAATAAGCTCTTTCTTTTGTTCTACAGTTGGTCGTAGTGCTCGCAGCCGTAGTGGCCATGGCCCACAGCTCCGTGGTGCCAGTAGCCCGAGCAGACGCCGACTACACGAGCTTCGCGTACAACGTGGCCGACCCCAACACCGGCGACTACAAGAGCCAGGTGGAGACCCGCGTCGGTGGCACCGTGCAGGGACAGTACTCGCTGCTCGACGCTGACGGCACCAAGCGCACCGTCGACTACGCCGCCGATGACGTCAACGGCTTCAACGCTGTCGTACGCAAGGACCCCGCTGTTGTCGCTGCGCCCGTACTCGCCGCCGCACCCGCTGTGGTCGCTGCCGCTCCCGCTGTAGTCGCTGCCCGCACTGTCGCCGCTCCCGTGGTTGCCGCTCCTTCCGTGGTCGCCGCTCCTTCCGTTCTCGCTGCTCCCTCCGTGATCGCCGCCCGTACATACGCTGCTCCCTCTGTGTACGCAGCTTCCTCTTTGTACGGCGCTCCCTCAGTATACAACACTGTCGCTGCCAGTCCTGCTGTAATTGGTGCGCGTTCAGTGGTTTCCCCTTACTATGCGTCATACTCTGCTCCAGTTTCATACTGGTAAATCGGGACAATTGTCGATCGACCGCGATGTGTTCTGTAGGTATACGTATTGGTCGAATATTATCCACTGTTACCTGTTGTATATATAAATATAAAATAAATAAAATGTAAATTCTGAGATTGCTTTTTAATTAAAAAATTTGAGACACACATAATCTCAATATTTCTGTCTGGTTTATCACGTTATTAGCATAATATATACTTTTTTTTTAATGAAATCCAACAAGGTGCTCCTATAATGCTTAACTCATATTGTAATTGAACTAACAAACTATTGCATTTTAAGAAGCTAGTTAAACAAAACAAATCCTATTATGATTCATATAAATGTTTTTCAATCAGAAAAATCATACATTCATATAGGTCATTTTTTGCGACCTAATGTAGGTATGTCAACATTTTAAATCATTAATAATACCATTCACCACAGTAAACCACCAGATGACGATTTCTGTTGTCTATGTTAATATTCTTAATTAGACTTAATATTATAAATTAAGAGAGCGGATTTTATTATGAAGGAAGAACATGTCTGAAACACTGCACCTATTTGAGAATTATTTTCTGTTCCAGAGTATCAGAAAGAAAATGTTACGCCAATGTATTCACAAAGATATGAACAAAGGCTGAGCTGGCCACTATTCATGTCGTACAATTGCAAAGTTGTAGAAATTAATTTTGCGATAATATTGGAGGAATTTAAGGATTCGTATTAAGAAATTTTGAAGTCACTATCCTATTTCTTTCATATTTCATATAACAATTTATGTACAAATTGTTATATGAAATATGAAAGAAATATTTCATATGACAAAATCTAAAACATTACAGAAAATCTTTTACACGATTCCCAGTTAGGTAACGAAATGCAGTAGTGTCTTACTAACTATGAAGGTATAGTTAATGCAACGTATCTACAAAAAAATCGAACTGAACATTACAAATTAACGATATTTGAATATAGACTTGTAATTGCAAAATCTATGAAATATACGAGTATAATCACAAAATTGTACATTTATATTAGTTTCAATTCTCATTAACTATTATTTAAATTATTATTTTATACCAGGAAAGGCAACGGTACAAGATTCTCAGTATTCGGTACGAAGTACATCATAAAACTTTCTTGCTTATTCTTCTTATGATAAAACTGCGTTCCGAATGAGTGGTACAATAAAAAAATATGAAGTGACTAGTCAAAAGTGCTTGTGTTGAGTTTATTTAAATAAAGATTATTTCTATTCTATTCTACTAAGTCTTGAATAGTAAGGTGTAATGGGTACCACAACTGACGGCTGTAACATAACGTATCCGTGGTGTTGTTCATGTTTACTTCAACAGGAGGGCCTTCAGATCCCTTGCCATTCCAGATACATATAACACCTGCTTGGATAGGTTGCGTTCTTTGCAATATATAAGTTTCGAGAGATTCCTTTTTATCCTCTAATCTGCGAAGGAGCTTAGAGGATAAAAAGGACACTGTGGGAAGTCCTGTAATTGGTCTCACAGATGAGGCATTAATGTCATTTTGACAGCTAACAGTTGAAAGGTTGTTCCAGATATATAAAACACCTAGATAGGTTGCGTACTTTGCAATAGATAAGTTTCTATAATACATATACGTACATTTATTACAAAATGGAACATGGTCTCAATATAAAATGTCAGGTGGGTATTAAAATTATTATCCGCTACCAAATAAGTGAAGTATATCATATTACGAGCCGTTCATGACAATGTTGTGGAGTATCTCTGAGTGGGCTCAGTTTGACTGGCTTGTGACATTGAGATCTGCATCTGTAACTGTTGAGTCATCAATGTACTTACACTACCTACTTAGAATATGAATGGAAATACACTATTTAAGTATATCTATTGACCAATATAACATGGCACAGAGATGGTGGATATATAAAGTACTAACTGTGCCCGCGACTTCGTCCGAGTGGAATACAGACCTTGACCAAATAAAAAAGTTTCATCATTCTAGCTTCAAAAATAACGAGTTTCCATGGAAACTTTCATCGTCTATTTTACTTTACAACCCTTTAATAAAGTTTGATTGTCATATTCATATATATTTGATCAACAGCCAAAAAAATAAGTTTCATGATTAGGTATAGCTTAAAAAATGACGATAGTTCCATAAAATTTTTCATCTCCCCTTTCAACCCCTTACAAACCTATTTTCGTATTAAAAAGTAGCCTATGTCGTTTCTCAGGGTCTAGACTATCTGTGTACCAAATTTCATTTAATTCGATTTAGTAGTTTTGGTGTGAAAGCGATACAGACAGACAGACAAGCAGAGTTACTTCCGCATTTATAATATTATATGTAGTATGTAGTTTTAGGTATCTGCTGCTATACTTAGTGGCATTTTAGCACTAATATACATATCCAATTTACACACACCAACAGAATGTAGATACTTAAACATTTTTCCACACATTAAAAAAAGATATTTAGGTAGATAATATTATTTTTTATATAAATATTCAATTGAATTAAAACTTTCCTTTCTATTAATATGATTGGAAATCAAATAAAAGTTGTCTATAAATTAATTAAATATGTACCCTATATTGGTCATGGAAGGAATATACAAGTATATTTATTATTTCAGATGGTAAAGGCACTGAAACTTCTTAAACTTACTGTCATACATTGTATACTGAAACAGTTTTTTTAAACTGCCCATACTAACAATAAGACAGCCAAAAATTAATAAAAATTAAACGTAAAAACAACGTCTTTTCTGTATAAATTTTAAAGAAACAAACAAAATAGTTTCTGGTAGTTTCACTTTATTTTTAAATTATTCGTAACTATAGGTACAACAGTATTTACAGCATAGAATATGGTCGTAACCATATTCTATTTAGTAATATGAGATTGGAGAAGCGTAGGACAAGGGAGCAGAGTATAAGGAAGGAGCATACACAGAGGGAGCAGCGTATGTACGAGCGGCGATCACGGAAGGAGCGGCAACCACGGGAGCGGCGACAGTGCGGGCAGCGACCACAGCGGGTGCGGCGGCTACTACGGGCGCAGCGACAACAGCGGGGTCCTTGCGTACGACAGCGTTGAAGCCATTGATATCATCGGCGGCGTAGTCAACAGTGCGCTTGGTGCCATCAGCGTCGAGCAGCGAGTACTGTCCCTGCACGGTGCCACCGACGCGGGTCTCCACCTGGCTCTTGTAGTCGCCGGTGTTGGGGTCGGCCACGTTGTACGCGAAGCTCGTGTAGTCGGCGTCTGCTCGGGCTACTGGCACCACGGAGCTGTGGGCCATGGCCACTAAGGCTGCGAGCACTACGACCAACTGTAATATTTTTTTTTATGTAGCTGGGATGGTAAACAAACTGACGATCTACTTGAACGAAGTAAGTACCATCGACAATACATAATGATGGAGTACTATTTTATGCCTCTATACCCTCTAATTTCTCTGCCATTTGTTACTCTTTATACTGAAATATATATAACAAGCCTCTATGACAAAGACTGGTGAAATAAGAGTGAAACAGAGGAATTTACAGAAACTCTACCGCGTTCTTTCAATCGTTGCAATAATAATTGGCATCTGAAAAAATAGCCTTTTATACCTCTGTTAATAATAAAGAAATGCCTACAGTGAATCGGAGTTCTTAATATAAATGTTAAAGAAACTTTATTTAAATTTTATAGACCTATTTGTTATACAACTGAAATGGTAAACAAACTGATGGCCAACTTGATACACAGTAGTAATAAGAATTAATACTGGTGGTAAAAATATTCTTGGACAACAAAAAAAAACATAATACATTGCTATTCTTGAGAAGTAAGATATTAATTTGACGATTTTACTTGAGTCATACACACATGTCTCCCAAACGAATGCAATTTACTTCTATCATTACACACACGCCAGACATAGGTTCCGAAGTCATATATCACATAACATTTTTAAAAAATTACGAGAAAAATGTCAAGACATCAAACTTAGAGGCTTAATTATATAACGCTAACAAGTCATGTATGAAACTCAATAATCACAAAGCTGTAGATTTATTTTAGTTTCCATTATAAAAAAATATTTTTCTTTAAATAATTATTTTAAAATATTACATATAAGGGAATGCCAACCGTATATAATCAATATTCAAAGTATGAGAACATCATCATCCTCATACAAGTTTATTCTGCTTCGATCAAATGAGAGAGCCAAATCTAATCACTAGACATTTTACTTAACTGTACTAGAATTTTTAATTAGGCAACCCTTGTATTATTCCTTAAAAAAATTAAATCGTACCTTAGCTGCCATTTCTGAACTTGTGATACAGAAGGAATGAAGCTGACACGAGGAAGGTGTTCTTATATAGGAAAATCCAGTCTTAATCATATTAAGAGTTGCGGTCACTAGTCGAACTTGAAAATAGGACCGCTCTTTATACGCTGGGAGTAATAAATTTACGTACCTACTTATCGCCAATTACGACAAATGTCAATTTGAACTTACGATACGTATCATTAGAGTTTCAAATTAAAAGAAACTATAAGATCATAAACTATAAGATTTATTTTCAACTAATTTGAGTAAGCGATTTAGTCCGTATAACCGGGAATAATTAATCGAGAACCATTTTTTTTGACAATACACCCAACGTCTTAAAGTTCCAAGTCAAGTAGAGCTTGTATTATACTAGACAACTGATATAAATACTTAGATATTTTAACATACATAATATACATAGAAAACATCCACACAAATACAAACAATTATACACATTAATACAAACGTTTGTAGCGTGCGAGGAATCGAACCCGCGATTACAGGAAGTTAGACGCGTGCTAAACGTATACTTCACTTATTTTTCTTATGGTTGATAATGGAATGGTGCACTCGCCTGCGCTAACGGTTTACACTGGCGGGGCACCAGTGGATAATGATTAGATGAACATGAGGTCAGGTCAGTTATTATATCGTATATAGTAAATTCACTACGAATTTATCACGATGATTTCCATGAGGAAATACGTGGAGGTCAACCTGAAATAGTTAGCAATGGGGTTATTAGTTCACATTACAAACAGTCCCCTTCCATCTACTTTACTTTAATATCACCATTGACATCAATATATGAATGATGAATTGTGGGAACTTTATTTTCTAGGCTGTAAATTATAACTTATAAAAAAAACTAATAAGTAAATAATGTCTATAATAAGTAACATAAATTTAGTCTAAACCAAACAAAGAACAGGGAAATGTTACTTGCAGCACTTGTAGTCATTTATTTCTACTTGATATTTAAAATTAGCATACAATGGGTTCTAAAACGATTACAAATAATGTCAACAAACGAAATAAAATAAATTCAGCTATATTTATTTAATATACTTCATAACAAATTTAAGAAGAAACTAAAATAATGTAAATTTTAAGTTTCGACGGTAAAATCTCAATACCGTTGGAAAAAGGAATGACAAACAAGACGACGGGCCACCTGATGGTAAGTGGTAACGGTCGGAAATCGCCCATTTATCTTATCTTATTGAGTCTTATCTGAGTTAACATTATCTTATCTGTGATAATACCAAAGAGCATAAATAAAAATTTAAATTAGCGTAATTCTAAACTAAAATGTTTATAGTTTGGAGAATATTCACCATCCCGCGGTGCTCGCATACGCCTTCCAGCGATCTTGACCAGATGATCTGTCCAACTTGCTGGAGGCCTCCCCACGCTGCTTCTTCGGTCCCCGGTCACAACTCGAGAACTTTACTGCTCCAACGGCCATCTGTACTACAAGCTATATACTCTGCCCATTGCCAGTTCTGTTTCGCAATTGGAGAATATTACATTACATTTCTTTTTCAGTTCTAGATGTAATTATCTAGAACTGAAAAATAAATGTAATGATAGATATATAGATAGAGACATAGATATTTAATAGAGTTTATACGCGTAACGTTTTAGTCCTTAGAATGACAATACATGAGTATATAATGATGACATGACAAGAGATTCATACGCTGTTTTTGAGATTTTTTTTATATTAACCTTGGACAATCCATACAGCGCCATCTAATCCCAAGCTAAACAGAGTCCGTGTTATAGGCAGTAGACAACTGATATTAATACTTAAATATGTTTTATATACATGATATTACCATCATCGGACGACATTACAACGTGATACTATTTATGTGTTGCTATTCTGGAAGACTAAGAAGCCTCTTAACCTGTCATTTCACGACCTAATCGCAACACTACTTATAAAGCAAACTGCGTGGCGGCCGAAATAGGGACACTAAAGTATCCACCTATGCAAACAGCTTTTTATTATCTAAAATAATGAAACAACATAACTAAATAAGCATTTATATTTTACAATTTCATCTATTATTTTAATAATAAATTAATTAACAATAGTAGCGTACGTCTTTGAAATTAATTATTAACTTTAGATGAAGTCTTTAAAAGTAATTACAAAAATGACTAATTTTCTTTTTCTAAGATTTATTTAGTCTATATTTTGATTCACATTTAGCTATATATTCGTTGAAATTAACACATAAATCATCATCAGTCATTTATAAGTGAAAAATTAACACATAAATAGACAATCTGACTATTTTTACTTTGTTACGACTTTATTATATGAAGAGAAGACATGTAAAGCCTATGTAAAGAAGATTATTGGACTGTCCCTGCTTTACCTAAGTGCTCATAAATTTTTCACATTTGCATATATTAACATAATTTATAGCCTATGATACTTCGGAATAATGTACCTTTTAAAATTATAGGGGAAAGGGGATTATTAGTAATGTGAAGTAATGACTCCAGTGCTAGCGACACGTCATGTCAGGTTGATCTCTACAAATTACCTTCTGGATACCATTATAATAAATACCTGGCGAATTATCCAGGATATGCTAACTGACCTGACCTTATGCTCATCTTATCATCCTCCACTGGTGCCCCGCCAGCGTAAACCGATAACACAGGCGGGTGCACCATTTCATTATTATCCATAAAAAATACAGTAACCCCTTCTGTTATAATATTAGTGTAGATATACAATTTTTAATTACGCAAATTTGTTCTTCTGCCTACATATTTTCAACAGGCGTAATGTCTTAGTGTCGAAAGAAAAAAAATATTCATAAAACTAAGACTCTATATCAGTATTTAAATAGAGCAATGAAATAAACTAATAATGAGAGCAAAATTAACTATTCATAAGACATATACCTACATTCAATTTCAGTATTTAAATATAAATCTCAACAGAAATATTATTATTATTATTATTATTATTATGATCCATGAAACTAATTTCGTAATATAATATAAAACTACGATACAAATTACTTTAGCAATTAGTGAATACATATCCTTGTAACTTTTATTAATACATTCTTTAGCGAAATCCTTGCAGTCTTTTTTATTTCTTTCGTATTCTATTTTTTGATATATCATTTTTGGCGTAATGTATAACATGTACCTACTTATTTTCCATATTTTTTCTCACAAATCACTCTCAATTTATTATCCATATACACTTCAGAATCTGGTACTGAGTATCCCCATAGGCGTGTCAATGAACCAATGCATTATTCTATAGAAATGATCAATCTTCAGGCTTAGTTTACAACTTATTTAAAGCGTATTTATTACATAAAAAGGTAGAATATAAATAATAATAAATAAAACAACACAGTATATTTTAGCAACATTTTTTTATTAAGAATTCCACAATGGAACAAATTTTTCTTCAATATATGTAGATCTAGACCTAAGTCTGATCGTGGGTATGTTAAGTAGTTCTGAACTGTATGTTTGATTGTCAACTATTGTAGTGCTGCACAAACGGACATATAATTTACTTATAATATATTTGTCTTTTGCAGAATTCAGTAATAACGGTAGTGTTACATTGACTAATTTCAGAACAGCTTTTGAATACATTTTGACAAACATGTAGACTGATTAAAATATGCAACTCTTTTATGTGTCTAATTTGTACTTATATCTCTATTTATATATACCTATAAGATAATAATATATTTATTTCTAGTAAATATTTATATAGTTATCTTCTATGGTAAAACTATGGATATGCATTCAAAAGTTGTTCTAAATTGAAGCTTAAATTTATCCAAATATATAGTTCCCTTTACCTTGACGAAGATAAAAATAAAATAAACATCTCAACCACAAATAAATTTGATCGTTATAATTATTTAAAATTATAATCTCTAAAACTGGAGAATACACGCGTGTTTAGAGCGTCGTTTGCTTTAGGCGCAAAATTATGGCTGATGTTAATTCATTTTATCTTCATAAGACAAACGGCACACTTTGTCAATCTTCAGCTTCCTGAACCCCACAGCAAAACATAACAGTTAACTACTACAATCACCACATAACTAACAAAAAACGCCAAAATGTTACCACACTAAAAAATTCGCTAGATAAGGTAAAATTATTACCGTTCACATTGCCGCGAAAATTAATTATCTAATTTCGAAGCCACGTGCACCTCCGAGCTATTAATTCGTATGTAGCCTTTCGACTATGAGAGGTACCGTAGCTGTAAAGAAAAACAAATAAGCATGTGGTCTAACCATTTGCCAATGTTCCCCCGGCGGTGGGCCACCGGCCTGTCTTTAAACCCTTATTATTTTACACATTACTTTATATACATTCAACCCGCGTCGATCATTTCTACTCCACTTGCTACTAATTCCATATATATAATTAGTACAAAAAATGAAGTCAACTAATAAATATCTAATGTAAATCACAAGTAGTGCTATTCTTACTGTTAAGGAATTATATTTTCTTCCATATATATAAAAAAGTCGCTTAAAAAAATCACAGACAATCACTTTCCCTTTACAGACATAGACCACCGAATCGACGACCGAATTATTTTCTTATAAGCATCATTATTTCGCTACGTACAAAACCCTACTTACTTAGTTTTACAACCATGCTGGTTTATACAATTTTACAATCGATTCTAAGTCACCATTCTAACATTATCATCTTAACATGACGTACTCGGATGTAAACCTATCGCCCTTGCGTGAAATAAAAGAATAAATGTAGAAATTAATAAATACAATACAAGTATACAACAAATTTAGAGACGCAACATACTGGACTTGTTACGAATCTATACACTGACACGAACGCACATAGAGCGCAATGAGTATCGGAGAAAAGTTTCTTGATATCAAAACGTTCTTATGCAACGTGTTTTACATGCAATTTTATATCGTAACTCTAATATAACAAAGCATAATTCTTGTCACATTTTCCAGTATGTTACGACAATTAAATCGATTGCGCCTTTTCATATAATGCCCTAGACCAATCCACCAATCGCGGGCTGTCGTATTATATATATTTATCTCATCCAATTTTGTACTCTCCATGAATAACCTACACTAAATTATAAATTTACGGATGCCCCAAAAAATATAATTTTGGCAACATTCACATAAAAACCGATAATTCAATTTCATTTTTAATTAATTTGTACTGGCAGTAACTCTTTAAGACTTCAGAAATTTGTACTTTAGTTCTTGTTGAAAGTGCTCGTTGTATTTTTTTTTTTACATTTTTCGTATTTTGTGTAACACTTACACAGAGATGACACCAAGAACATAGTATAAGTGACACCGAGACTTACCCCATCTGAGCTTAACGAGATTTACGTTACACATGTATAATTTATGACATGATATTTACAGTCATGAAATGACCATATTCACTGGACGTTGCCACATCGAATGAAACACCGAATTTAACATACATTTCTCCTTAACTTAGAGCCAGTTAGATCATTTGGTATATATTCAACTGCCGTGTTAATGCAACAACATTCGCGTGCCGAGATGTGGTATTCATTCGGCAATATTTAGTACAGTCCGAGTATTTTGTGTATTACTCTAGTGTAATCAGGAAGTGAGCATAATTAATTACCACAATAATGTACACTTACATAACATTAAATGCGAGAGAACATTAATTTTTTTTTTCATTATCAAATTCGTAGAAATGAATCGATGACGACGAGACGAACTCGCGTACGATCCATGCAAGTGCACCCTTAAAATATAAAAACATCCAATGATTACTTAAATATTTCCTGTTCAGTTAAGTGCAACTATTAATTTATGAATATTAGGTACTTAAATTTCAATTCCTTAAATAATGTACTTAAATATTTAATAATAAACATTAAACACGATGGACGGGTGTAACCTGTCAAAGATATAAATAAAAAAAGTACATTAACAAAAAAAAAAGAAAATAAAGGATGTAAAGGAAATAAAAATAAACAGAAATAATAATTTTGTTACATTTTTTTAATTCTCAGAAACCTAACAAACAATAATTTTCGATTTTCATCGCCTTAAAACATAGTAACATCTATGCAACACAAAAGAGTAACTGGGGAACGTAATAATAATAAAATTATGGATAAAAAGAAAATATTTTATACTCCGGAGAGTGAAGGAAGGTACAATTAGATTACGTTTCGAGATGACTCGGGGCCGACCTCCTTCAGATTGCGTGTGAGATGAGGTACCATCGATGAGATTAATATATCTAACCTAATTAACACTTACACACTAGATATTAATTAGGACCGTGTCCACTCAGTTCGCCTCGAAGACCAACTGTATTCACTTGTATTCACATCGAGACAAACCGAGTGCACTGCACTCACTACCTTGCAGAGATTCAAATGAACGTGCTTCGTAGAATTATCAATTTCCAACTCAGTATTATTTACATTTTTTTTTTATAAAATTGATCCACGTAACATCCATTGACAGCACTAAACAGAGTTAAATCTATAAATATCTGTTCAACTTTAATTATTTGAAACATTTAAAAATACTACAGGAAATATAGATTTGTCGAGTGACTAAATTGAATCCTGAGGTAGCATATTTGTACTTTAATTTTTTTTTTATTTTCACATATCACTTACGAACTATATTTTTTTTCATCATATAAAAAATCTATAAGCTTACTTATTACTAATTTATATTCCTCGAGGTAGATAAACTTACAATCTAATAAAGGGCCACGCATGAGACGACATTCCATCTTTTTTTTTTAATTTTTTTTCATTGCCAAAATGCTCGACCAGCGAAATGTGATACGTAATTTTGTTACTAAATATAAGTGGAATGTTGTGTCATCACAAAGCCCATGATGTGACGGCAGAGGGTCACCATACCCGTAACAATCTTTGGCTTTACCATCACGACATCTCGCGATATTTATTTAAAAAATAAAGAAATAAAGAACTTAACTAAAAAAGAGACTTAAAAATATTAAAACCCAAAGTATGATCTAAATACACAAAAAAATGCTTGAATACAGTTTTGATCCAGCAAAACCAATGAGAACTTTGCAATAAGGAAGTATGTATGTGAAATTTAATGTGCCTACAACTATGTCTTTGGCCCGTCCGCCTAAGAACGGGATTAGAGTTGATTCATCGGTAATATTGTTGATTATTTCTTTTATCTATTTACTAAAATTATCTGCCTTTCTTATAGAATTACATACACAAAAAAGAAAGATCGGCCCGAGTCTTTGGATTAGTGATTTCAGTACACCGACTAAACGTGATTTACCTATCACATCAAATACATTACAACTAATAGGGACTACTAATAACTTGTCCACTAGTTAGCTTTAACAATGTTTCAACTTAATTTAGACACGTTACTCAATATCCCAATGTAAAGTATGTTGTAATTTTGTACACATTTTCATCACCAGATATTACAATTACACAAAAAAATTAACTACACAAACTAATTTATTTAAATTGACGAGTGTTATTGTAATCTAAAATTTGTACCTTATAAAATTTAGAAAGAAGCAAATCCATTGAATTCAACGCTCCCGTGTCGTTGATAATCGTTCACAATCGTTATCGGCATCGCCTCGTTACACTTAACCGAAAAAATATAATTAAAAAAAAGCTAAAAATGTGATGCATTAACGCAATTCTCTTTTAGGTACATATCACATAAACATTAAATGTCAAAAAGAAATCACAAGTATGAATTTATAATTCATAAGAAAAAACGAAATGACAAAATATAGAACAATAATTTTCCTTCTTTGTTTCTATTCATCAATAATAATAAAACATAATGTTAACAATTCGCAAATTGAAGTAGCAAAAACATTTCGCCTTAACAATTACACTTACCGAAAGAATGCCAATAATAATGAAACATAATATTTTTACAATAATTAATTACAAGCTCGGTCAACGTAAATAGTACGAATAATGAAGTTTTATCAAACGACAGTCACTTCCGACCGACTATTTCCAACTAGACATAAAAGGCACTGCGCTCCTAGATGTTGCACGCAAATTATCAATGTCCCAAACAACATTCCTAATAAAGCCGATATCTGTCCAATACATACGCGATCACACCGTTTCCCCCACACCAGTGCACGTTAGTCGGAAACTTCGGATGTTATTTCGACGACAATAAACCACCCTATCGAATCCAAAGAGGTCACAGACAAAAGAAAATGAAAAAACCGCGCGTAAACATGTCAATTTCTTTTTTATGCTATCAGGTTTTTTATAAATTTAAAAATAAAACTCAATTTTTGCATCACTCTCAGTACTCTTCAATGAAATTTCGGTTATTTTTTTTTGTAATCCGAAATATTCCACACCGTTATCGGACGTGCCACATGCATGCGTTAAAGAAAAAAAATATCATTAATCTCTGGATAAAAACAAGAAGATAGGACAGCATGGCGCCTGTGAACTCTCGCCATTTTTAAACACTTCCATTCCATAAACCAAAGTTGATTCTCGATCAGAAATCAATGCAGATTTACTTATAACTTGTATCGAAATAGATCTCTATGGTAATATATGCTATATTGTATAAAATAGATAGCCTGTCATTAAAAATATATCTGAAATATGTAGACAAATAGGTACGTTTGTAGGTATAGCGTCTAATCATTATTACTTCACATAATGCGTCCTGCAACAACGCAGGCGACTCCTTTATAGATACTACAGGGACAATAGACGAAAGGTCCACAATAATTTGAACTTTATCTATAATTAATAAAAACGAGTAATCCTGTCACCATTAAAAGATAACTAAAACGCTGTCTTATAAATGGTACGGGCAACAAAATCTATTTTATAAACAAGTCACTGAGCCTTCACAGGGCATCGTCATAAATATATTCAATAAGTGTACCCTAAAATATAAATATAATAATAAATATGAATGCAACCTATTCCTAAATATCAGGAATATAACACACAGTCGCTACATTCACACTTAACAAAAAAGAATTAAAAATAAATAAGACATAGATGTGAACTTAAAATTGAGGATATTTGGCACTGTCCCATCCGCTTCGTGTTAACAAGACCATATTGCAACTGTTTGTTTAACTTCAAGTACCGTGTACAACGTGGCCGCCGGCGATGACTTCTCAACAAAATATAATACACTGCCACCGACGACGATCTAATATTATTTAAATATTTATTTTCATTTAAAATCTCAACTGGTTGCACTTGAAATGACTAGGAATATAGAAGTAGTAAGTGGTCTTCTACGCTACGACAAAAAAAAAATAGTCAAAACGGAATGTTAATATCGACACCATCCCATTAGAACATATAATTATTTGGTCACAATAGTAACATCCGAGCAGGCGAGCCTGATACGAACGACAGAAATGGATTGTTTAACACATTCATGCATCGAATCACACATGCAATATTTTTAATAACACGTTTTGTTTACCTAACTACTTATGTACCTAGGGCAAAGTTGTACTTTGTACAAAATTAAAACCGTTCGCATTCACTGTACAGTAAAAAACAGTTGAAACTCCATATCCTGTTTCCCCGCACCTTATTTCACCCAAAAAAAATTTCAGTGTGGCAAATAATTAAAATATATAGCCTGTTTCATATTGTATCACAGATGTGCTTAATTATGCAACTAAAACTGGTATTTAATTATTGTTTCGAGATATGTGTATATAAAAAAAAAAACTATGGTAAAAATATGAGGTATTGTGAAGTCTTGCCACAATGCAAATTCAGCGTGTTTCAACCTAGGCCAAGGCGATATACAACATTCTCCTATTATTTACATACACTTAGCCTATGACCATCAGTCTCAACATCATTTCTAAGATTCCCTAGCTCACGTAATATAATATAAGCTATATCGTCACATTCCACCGAGAGCTAAAAACAAACCGTCTATACAAGGTAACTTTATCTCACAGTCAACTGGACATATATTATTAAAACTTTGCAAAAAATTAAGGTACGTTAACGCGATGAGGGTGCAATACTAGGTACAATATTTTTAAAACATAGTACCAGAAAGAGACGAGCACTGAGCAACCATTCGAAGTCACACTTGAATATTTAAATTAAGTAACAATTATCGCACAAGTTCAAAACCTTAAAAAATCTTAAGATCAATTTCTGAGGTAGATTACTGGTTACATAATTATATCAACGAGGTAATTTATTGTACGCATGTTACAGTTCAGGACGCGGCGAGGGCCACTTGTTCGCAAATGAGTCCACCAAGTGAATACACAACCAAAACACTGGCAACACCTACGTTCCATGTTCAAATTTCAATGTAGTTGTGGTTAAAAATTTAAAAATGGAACTTCGAATCTTCCGTAGAAAAGTCACCCGCGCCGGCCAAAAATGGCAGAGGTAGTTTGGTTGAAAATAGGATTGAAAATTTGCGTTATCCCGGGAATTTACTGCGTGTGGTTTGGGAGTGGGCCTTGGGGAAGGTGGGGGGTGACCTGGTGGCGATGTTCGCGGGCGATGTGGCGCCGCACCGTATTGTTGCGCGTGAAGGTGCGCGAGCAGTGCGGACACGGCACTCGGATGCCCTGATGTCGCTGCCTGATGTGGGCTCGTAGGTTCGTCTCATATCCGTAAAGTCTCTCGCAGTATGGACACTTTAGCTTTTTACCTGTAAATTTTCATTTGAATAGCTATTAATATTTGATCGTACTTGAAAGTATATAATAAAGTTATGAAAATACTTGGTTTTGGAAGCATAAGTTCAAACAAATAATACAATAGTATTAAAGGTCCCATAGGGCACAATTTTGGGGCCACTAACATACACACGATCCGTCAGGATTGTTATCGCAGATGGGGTAGTTAGAGGTATTTACTATTTTTTTGTGTCTGCAAGATTTGAAGTTACGACCACGTGGGCATAATTCAAGAGTAAATTACAAGGCCGTGAGGCTAAACTAAATAATAAGTTAGGATAGGACTAGACATAATTTTACATAAATTTAGTCTATGTAGAATTAAAAATTAAAAATAACATTTAAAATAAATGCTTATTTGTTAGACATATGCAAATATAACTTACGTGAGCTTCATTGTATGACTTCTTTTGACATAACGATTGTTTTATGCAAATGTTGAGATAAAGATCAAGGAAATGATAATAATGATAAAGATTCTAATCAATAAAATGTTAGTAATACACAGCAAGCAGTAAAGATCTTAGTTGCAATACATACTACATAGTAGCTTGCGTAACTTTTTGAAAAATCCTTTCTAGTAATGCTACTCTAATGGTTTAAGCTAAGCTTTGATAGTTGAGTCAATCTTGGATAATGTAGCATAAGATCCAATTAAGTGTCTATTATGCTTTTATATCTATAAGAACTATCACGGTTATACTCTACTGCATGAGATGGCGTTTTAAAAATAACTCGCAATTCTTTGAAATTGCTCTGACCAAAATCAAAAATTCTATTATAATATATATATTGCATAAAAATATTAAATAAATAAATATAGTATTAACTTTAATTTATAAAGACAATTATTCTTTTTTTAATTTAATCATGCTTTTTGTTAGGCGTACATGTATTCTTCACTTCTTTCCATTCTCATAATATCATATATCAAAATAGGATTAAAATACCGAAGACAATAGAAAGTCCAAATAAAACCTCATAAAAGTAACAACTACTGTAGAGATCCATGTCAAGTTGACTTAAAAGAATTCGTACGGTACATATTTAGTTTTAGAATTATGTTAGTGAAAACATTTTCTTCAACCTGAATTATCAATGGGACACATAAATTTATGTTACGCTCTCTAATGAACTCACCGTCGGCAGTAGCAATGCCGCCTGATTTGCTCGTAATCATCTTCGCTGGCCATATATTCTCGGGGCTAGGTTTCGGCGGTATTGGCGATGTCGCGAGTGGCTTATCATGATAATTCGTGGTTGGTATTGAAGCCGGAGGTGGCGGGGAATTATTGTACCCAGTTGTATGATAATCATTCTCATTCTTCACTCGTAGATCTGAAAAGGATACATGTTTGTTTAGCTCGATAATTAATGGTACCATTCTCAGATACCTCTTGTGAATACAAATTATTCGAATGGGAATTTCTATTTAAATTCTTTTTCAGATTGATTATCAATGCCGGTCTTGAGTATACAAATTACGAATGAGAATTTCTTTTCTAATTCCTTTTTAAGATGTGTGTTTTGTTTTCTCAGTCTTGTTGGGTGTTTAGTAGATTCTTAAAGTTAGAATGCCTTTGTTATTCTTTTAGAAATATCATTAGATATTAAGAATTGCTTAGTTTTAGGTTAGTTACGTAAAGGTTAGTTACCTTCAGCGCCCTGTTCACTAGACAGGCGATCTATCATTTCGTCATTAGCTGAAGCGCTGCGTTCATATCCATTATTCTTAATCGGATTCCCAAGAGTGGATGTGCAGTCTGGTTGGTTTTCCTCGTACCGTTGACCAGCACCAGGGGACGATCGCGTGTCAGGCTCATCAGCGACGCTACCACAATGTGACGATGATGAACTTTGCCTATAAGTCGATGCATTATAGGATTATAATTAACTAGCTCACACACTTTAGCTATAGCTAATTTCATTCACACAGACACAGGATTAAGATGACATGGCTCTTGTAATTTCACTGCCTAAGGTAGCCTACAATTGAAAGAGCTTACAAATCAAGCTGCTTGGCGGCTGCAATAGGCGAAACTGAGATTTGAGGTGACCTTTAGTATAATCTGTACAAATAAATAATATTGAATTTGTTTGTAATTTCAAATTTACAGATTTTCACTAAATGCATTTCAAAGTATATACGGTAATTACATTAAAAAATGTATTATTTAATATTTATTTAAGGCTGGATTGATTTTGACGGTACCTTCAGTAGCAGTTAACTAATGTTATAAAAAGCGACGTAGAAAACGTTCTTAAAACAAATAAAGCTAGCGATTAGTTTAGCATATGTACTTCCTAATATGTAAAACTCGTACATATTGTCGTTGAAAGCATTACCTGTAATTTCTAGCGTGTGGGCTCTGAGACGGCGACGGTTTAGGAGGCGCCGGCCTGCGGTGAGAAGTTGGATGCAATGGCAAATGTGCTGGCGGAGCATATCGGCCGATACTCCCACTACCAGTATGTATTGGCATCCCATACTGAGGTATAATGGGCGCGAAAGTAGCTGTATGGGACTGCGGTGGCGCAGATTCCTGTACTTCACAATTTCCTGATCCTGACACCGGGCTTGTCTTTATGCGCGTCTGATGGCGATCCCCCGAAGACTGCTGAGTCTGCTGCTTCACCCAAGCATCTTGGGACATCTCCATAGATAGGCCTTTAACCTGGAAAAAGTATGTATTTTGAAATATAACATGATTGGATAAAAAGAACAACGTTATATGGAAGATATTGAAATCATATTTAAAACCCGCAGATATATACAGAAAGTTGTCATTTATGATATTATGTGCCCAGAGTACTTCTATTTGATTTCAGTAAGTATTTTTTCAAATACATTATAATTCAAATAAAAACTTCCTTTAGTGATAACGAAACTAATATTGAACAGATATGGACTCTGGCGATTGTAATAAAATCATCAAAATCTGATAAAATTTGGCGAAGATAGATAGATACAAAATGTGCAGTCGAATTGAAAATATTGCCGTTTTTGATATCAGTTAACAATCTGTTATCTATATCTATATCAAGTTTATTATCTTATACCTGGTATCTATATTTATATCAGGATGTTAACTTGAAGTCCATATTATTATCTAAACAACAATCTATTGTTATTTCATGCATATAATTTATGTAAACAACTTTAAAAATGATCATATATAATCTTACCTGCAAATTCTCTCCGCTCTTAAGAAAACTGGAGAGGGCATCCTGGCTAACATGGACCTCCCCTTTATACATGAACTCGAGAAGAGCTTGCATATTGTCCGCAGAGGTGGCCTCCAGGATGACGTAGCACGCGCCCGCATGGCTCGGAGGTGCTGTGTCAAACAACTCTTGAAAATGTTTGCTGCAAGCGGCCAGGATCACCTTGTGAGCTTTGAATTGGCGGCCTGGAATGAATAGAAAACGCATTTTCACAATTAAGCTATAAAATCCTACACTGGCAGTTTGTGACTGATAATGAAATAAAAAAAAAAGTTCTATTACGGCGGGAAATTTCAATATTCGAACGCGAGTAAGAGGCTTTTCTTGGAAAGGCACGAGATATATTAACGCTCTACAGTATAAAGCTATACGTAAAAACCAAATTTCTTGACCAATAATCACCTAGCAATAGTTGCCCTAAAGTAATGTATTATAAATAACATAATCCCAGTGATCAAGAACCTACTGATTTAATCAAACCTGATAATCCTAGATTATCAGGTATGATTAAAAACAATAATTTTATATAAAAAGAGGAAATATTACGAAGATTATCTTATATTTCTAAAAAGAGTAGCTTATTCTAATTATGAAAGAAACGCAACTCTACGTTGTCCTGAGTTCTTAAAGTTACTATACTACATTTCGGGTGCAAAAAAGTGTAATTTATTGCACCCTGAAATGAAGAAATAAAAACTAAATCTCATACATATTTTTTTTATTAGAACGTCAACACGATACATTTCTGTAAGTAATTTTGCTATTATTTTTAATTCTTGTCACTGAATTAAATATTACTCTTTGTTTTTATTTTCTTTCTTAATCTTTTATCAGGCAAGTAGCCAACGTGTAGAGATATCCGCCATTTTGTAGTTTAAGTTTTTCTATGTTTTATTGGTAAATACTGAAGTTCCATATCAATTCCATGTCAAATAGACCTTGGTAGTCTAGCGGTCTAGCACACCGCTTTACGTCCGATGGTCGCGGTTCGATTCCTCGCACGGCACAAACATTTGTATTTATGATTGTTTGAATCGGTCTGGCTGTTTTCTATGTATTTACGAATTTTGTTTTTCTATGTATAATACGTATGTATTTACAAAAAAAAACCTATATACTTGTATCAGTTATCTAGTACCCGTAACACAAGCTTTAGATAGCTAAACTTGGGACTAGATGGCGCTGTGAGGATTGTCTTGAGATTATTATTAAGGTTATTATAAATTATTTTATTATACATAACGGTTTCTCCCGCTCTTTCTTTTAGGAGGAATATCTAAAACCAGTTCTAACTCGTTTCCCACATCCCAAACCTGCCTATTGTCTATTTCCATCTATCGCAGCGATGTTGAGTCAGTTGGTATTTTATTTATAGATCGTATTGCAATCTTGAAAAAATCCCTTTATAATCATTTTCACGAGCTGGTTTCAAACGATTTTAGATTCTATTTTAATAGGAATGAATTTATTAAAGGCACACGCACATGGCGACGTCCCACGCAACGGTATAAACAAAAGTCAAGGTAAATGCGTTTGGTGGTCCGGAAAAGGTACCATTCCACGAAATATAAGTGGACCAAGCGTGTATTGATTAAAGTTCTAGTTATGTCCTTTGACATTTTATAATAAGGATTTAATTATATAATTAGATATATTGATATACATACTAATATTGTAAATTCAAAAGTCTATTTCTCTATCTGAATGTTTATTACCTTTTCATTTTACCAAATGCAAAAAGAAATGCCACTACAGATCCTATGTGGTCGTAACCCACTCATGCATGCTCACGAAATACCTCCTTTATGAAGTAGTACACACTCTATCCTGAGGAGATACAATCTAGCGCCCCGAAGAATCTAAGCTATCGCTAAGAATATCCCTCAATTATTATCCCTGATGGTCCTAGATAACGAACTCTAAAAAAAAAGGAGCGACCCCAATTGATCTATGCAGGTTGCAGCTGTAACACTATAGCACCGAGCGATAGCCCAAACTACTTAAATAAAAAATCTTTTCTCTACTCGACAAAAGTTGAATGGAACTTAAAGTAAAGATACATTGTCTCGAAGATGTATGTAAGAGCTCTGAAATTGTCGAAAAATATAAAAATTTACAAATAACAACAGTAACGACGATTTCTCACGACATCGACATTCCTGACAATTTTTAGTATAAAATAAAAATAAATATCTAATTCTGTACATTGATTATACTTATCATCAAAATAAAACATTACAAATTTAGAAAAATTTAAAGATTATTTTTTTAATTATAATTATTTTAATTATAATTTAATTTAATACATTTATGTGACGATTAAAATTGCTTACAAGAGATCTTCAGCCCCTTTCCTATTAAAAAAATAAACATTCTATAAAAAAATATATCGTTTAAACCTATTTCAAATAACCGAATATTTTAGAGCCGGCGGTCATTCGCCAATAAAAAAAAATAAACACAAGTCAAGGCCTCCGACGACTCTGGTCACTGACCATGAACTCCAAGAATTCCAAGAACTATTTCGTAGGTTCTATGGCGGAGTAGGGTACCCAACTTTTTGTCCTCGGTGGATGGCTCCTTTTATTTTATTTGCTTACACGTTTAAAGTTATATCTAAAATTAGCCGTAGAGTTATGTTTAACTCGCAATAATTGGAGCAAGAATACGTATTTTTTTATATATATTGAATCGTACACAATTTTGCAAAAAAACTGTAAAATTGGTATTGCTACAGCAATCTCAATATATCAATAGTAGAAAAATGTAAAGTAGATTAGTCGTAAGTAAGTAGATAAGTCGCATAGCACATGCGATCATTATTAATAGCATAGGTTTATAGGACTTACCTATAGTCGAGTATAATCAGAAATATAATTTCTGTTGTAACACAGATTTCTACAGTGATATAAAATATAATGTATTTGAGACACACAGTAGTATATAGTCCTTTATTTAATTGCTATTGTTGATTCAAAGTTTTTTTTTCAATTTCTTATTATGATCGAATTTCCACCACTGGTCGATCACTAGTTCAATTAAATAATACAAGTAAACAGTAAGAAACTAAATAAATTCTAATCTATACATAATAAACGCGAAAGTGTATTATATATTTTCTATTATCATATTTTTTATTTTAAAAAAGATAAACTGGCCAACAACCTAGTATTTAATAAGTAAATTATAAAACAAATTGTTATAAATATTCATTTCCTTAACATTACGGATAGGTATGTCGATTGTCCTTAGTAGTACCGAGTGACATCAAGAGATGGCGCTACATATACGATCGAGTTCAACTAACATTCGGCTGTTACGACATTTAAAATATTTCAAGGCCGCCAACCGCATCTACACTTCCTATACAAGTATCTGTTGACAATACTGTTTGTTGAGTCATAAGCCCTTTATGTTAAATATGAAACGGCGTCAAGTGGCTTCTAATTTAAGAATAATGCCTTCACGACCGTTATACCAAATAGGATTAGCAGAATTATTATCAACCATCGATGTCGTGGTGAACGCCGCTTTTTAAATAGCCATGAGTATTTATTGCGAAAGAGCAGCCCCTACCGTACAGCTATTTCATGGATTAATTTGGTTTGTTATTAATGATTTCGTCACGGAATTATTGGTCAGGTCAGATGTAGAAGTTTGACGCAGTATTTTTTTAAATCGGCACCTACTTACGACGTATGAGTTCTAAGTCGTAGAAGTAAACTAATAGGCCACGACGCTCTCGATATAAGAAGTCGGTTAGAAACCATAACCTGTCCGATCGTATGCAAAGTCGAAACGTCCTCGAAAACGACCGCATAATTGACATTGACATTAAACGAACTGGCTTGTTTCTATGCGGCTTTGTTTCCTGATATAATCGCATTTAGAAATATGTCCATACTGAAAGACTAGGGTCATGACTAATGTGATCATTTATTCTTCGACTCTAAACGGGACATTGGTTTATTTAGGTTAAGTAAGAGTATGAATGTTTGTTACTCTTTCACGCAAAAACTACTGAACGGATTTTCTTGACACTTTACACTAATATAGAATATAAAAATTTTCAGTTTCACATGAATGAAATCATGCGGGTGAAACCGCGGGTACAGTTAGTAGTAATAGATAATAAACACCTGAATATCTAGTAACTTTTTAATGTTCAATTATTCATAAGAAGTTACCTTACAAGTTACGAAATTAAAAATATACCCGATAAATATAGCTAAATATTTTGTTTAGTAATATTTTATTTATCGGTGTACCAAATTTTCTTCAATATAACTGGTGAAGATTGTAAATAAGAATGGAACTCTTGGCCTGTCTATCTTATATTCACCTTAATTAAAAAAATCACAACCGACAGGCTCGTCTACTCAAATTTTAAATGGGATAATTTCGCGTCCCAGAGTTCACCGGGACACCGGGACTCGTAATTATAAAAAAGGACAGTCCCGTCCAAAACGGGACGTCTGGTCACGTTAGTAATGACACATGCACGATATTTTAATAGTAATTTAACGGACTTTTTTCATTATACACCATTACAATGTAATTAATATAGTACGTAATTGACCTTCATGAATCGGACATCATATTTCAAAGTTCATTTATTCTTAGTATCTACGCGGTATTATATAATGCATACTAACTAAAGTAAGAGATTGTACATTTGTCACTTTATTGACTCAAGCCATCGTCACCATATTTATTTAATCCTCATTTTGCTATGTAACTGGTGAATAAAGAACACATCTATATATCTGTCTACCTATCTAATAGCCAAGCCGAAAGTCACTTGAAACTGAACCACTTTCATATAGAAACAAAGTGGAAATCTAAAGATAACTTTAAATTTTTCAAAATTAACTGATCACCTCACCTATGTATCTATCTAATGGCCGAGCTGAAAGTCACTTATAAAACTAAACCACTTTCCTCTAGAAACAAAGTGGAAATCTGAATAAGAATTTTGAACATTTCATAATAAACTGAACACGTGACCGTGAGTTTCTGTGAAGGCTTTCATTTTCTAGATCATGTTTCATGAGTATTATCACTGACTTTGTTGCTTTACAACTAAACATGGTCTCATATTGTTAGCTTCATTCGGATGATTGGCGTTTGACTGGCGAATTTGACTTTACTTGCCACTATCTTTGGAAATGTGCCTATTGGAAAA